GGAAAACCGGGGGGGGTCACTACCGGTTCAAACCCCTCCCCCCCCCCCCCTCCGGAAAACCGGGGGGGGTCACTACCGGTTCGAACCCCCCCCCCCCAGCTCATCATGAAAAGGGGGGGGGGTCACTACCGGTTCGAACCCCTCCCCCCCCCCCCTCCGGATCCGGAAAACCGGGGGGGGTCACTACCGGTTCGAACCCCCCCCCCCCTCGAAAACCGAGTGGGGGTGCGGACAGTGGTGGGGACGGTGTTGGTGGGGACAGTGGTGAGGGGATAGCGGGACAGTGGTGGGGACAGTGGGACAGTGGGACAGTGGTGGGGACGGTAGTGGTGGGGACAGTGGTGGGGACAATGGTGGGAACAGGGGGGGACAGTGGACAGTGGTGGTGACGGTGGTGGTGGGGACAGTGGTGTGGGGACAATGGGAATGAGGTGGAAACAGTGGGACAGTGGAGGGTACAATGGTGGTGGGGACAGTGGTGAAGGCGGTGGCGAGGACGGCGGTGGGACAATGGGACAGAGGTACAGTGGGGACAGTGGTGGGGACAGTGGGGACAGTGGTGGGAACAGTGGGACAGCTCAGTGGGACAGCGGAGGAGTCAGTGGGACAGTGGGGACAGTGGGGATAGTCGGGCAGTGGTTGGGGCCGTGGAGACAGTGGGGAGAGTGGAACCGTGGTGGGAACAGTTCTGGGGACAGCGGGGACAGTGCGACAGTGGTGGGGCCACTGGTGGGGACAGTAGGGGCGGTGGTGGAACCAGTGGGGACAGCGGTGGTGAGGACAGTGGTGCTGGGAACACCAGTGGGGGATGTGATGCGGACGGTGGTGGGGACCGGGAGTCGTTTGCTGGCGGTGAGTGGGGGTGGGAACAGTTCTGGGGACAGCGGGGACAGTGCGACAGTGGTGGGGCCACTGGTGGGGACAGTAGGGGCGGTGGTGGAACCAGTGGGGACAGCGGTGGTGAGGACAGTGGCGCTGGGAACACCAGTGGGGGATGTGATAGGGGGGGGGGGGGGGGGGGGGGGGGGGAGGGGGGAGGGGGGGAGGGGGGGGGGGGGGGGTGGGACGGTGGTGGGGACCGGGAGTCGTTTGCTGGCGGTGAGTAGGGGGGGGGGGGGGGGGGGGGTTCGAACCGGTAGTGACCCCCCCCGGTTTTCCGGATCCGGGGGGAGGGGGGGGGGAGGGGTTCGAACCGGTAGTGACCCCCCCCGGTTTTCGAGGGGGAGGGGGGAGGGGGGGGGGTTAGGGGAGGGGGGGGTTTTGCCGGGGGAAGGGGGGGGGTTCCAGCAGGGGGGGGGGATTTTCGGAGGGGGGGGGGGGCGATCCCCGGGTTCCGGAGGAAAAGGTTGGCAATTTTCCACAGTAAAGCGGCGGTGGGATCACGCTCTCTCCGTACTCTCGACCCATTCCCCAAGACTGGCTTTTCTTCTCGAGTCGTTTTTGTTGCCGGTCCTGCAGCCCGAATACTAGCCCCTGGAAGCCGAATGCGAGGAAGGAGCTTGCCGTCTCGAATCGTTCGAGACGCTGATGTACAGGTCTTTGGGGTTCTCCAGGGAGGCCCCGGAACCTCCCCGAGCCCGAAAATGTCCAAACACGCTCGAAAACCTCAACCCTCGATCCTCTCCTCCTCCTCCTCCTCCTCCTCCTCCTCCTCCTCCTCCTCCTCCTCCCTCCTCCTCCTCCTCCTCCCCTCCTCCTCCTCCTCATCCTCCTCCTCCTCCTCCTCCTCCTCCTCCTCCTCCCTCCTCCCTCCTCCTCCTCCTCCTCCTCCCTCCTCCTCCTCTCCTCCTCCTCCTCCTCCTCCTCCTCCTCCTCCTCCTCCTCCTCCTCCTCCTCCTCCTCCTCCTCCTCCTCCTCCTCCTCCTCCTCCTCCTCCTCCTCCTCCGCCGCCGCCGCCGCCGCCGCCGCCGCCGCCGCCGCCGCCGCCGCCGCCGCCGCCGCCGCCGCCGCCGCCGCCGCCGCCCGCGCCGCCCGCCGCCGCCGCCGCCGCCGCGCCGCCGCCGCCGCCGCCGCCGCCGCCGCCGCCGCCGCCGCCGCCGCCCGCCGCCGCCGCCCGCCCGCCGCCCGCCTCCGCCTCCGCCTCCGCCTCCGCCTCCGCCTCCTCCTCCTCCTCCTCCTCCTCCTCCTCCTCCTCCTCTCCTCCTCCTCCTCCTCATCCTCTTCCTCCTCCTCCTCCTCCTCCTCCTCCTCCTCCTCCTCCATTCCTTTCTTTATAAGGAACTCCTCCCTGTCGCACCCCCAGACGTGTCAGCAGGGCGGGCCGGGCATTTCGCCTGAGACTTCGCAACAGCTTCACAGATGGAGGGCGGGCCGGTTGCACTATGTTGCTCTCGCCTGAGCGCCGCAAACTTTCGGCGTACAAGTTTGCACGAGATTCACGTATGGAGGGCGGGCCATTTCCAAAATGTGGCTCACGCCATAGCACCACGCACATTCGCTATGAAAGTTCGCAGCAGTTTCAAGGATAGAGGGCGGTTCCTTTCAAACGTGGCTCGCGCTTTAGCGCTGCGCATATTTGTCTTACAAGTTGCGACCGTTTTAAGGATGGAGGGCGGTTCCTTTCCAAAATATGGTTCTCGCCTTAGCGCCGTGCAGAATCGTTTAAACAGTTTGGAGTAGCTTCCACGATTCATTTGTATGGTCGAAGTCCCAGACCTTGTGTTTCGGCACGATTTAGAATCATCTGGGCCTCGTAGACACGTTGATTCGCGGCGATGAAGTCCCAGGAACGGCGTTCTGGCACGACTCCCGAGTGTCAGGACGCAACAGCCACGTTGATCCGCGGCGTTGAAGTCACAAAAAATGCCGATTTGGCACGATTGAGGATTCTCAAGCGGTTGTCTTCTAACGGGCCACTTCCCGCAAGAATTGTTTTAGGACCTGTGAAGAGGGAATTGAAGGGAGCGTGTATTGGAACATCGTTGAGGCTTCTTAGTTTCACTGGTCCTCCTCCTCCTCCTCCTCCTCCTCCTCCTCCTCCTCCTCCTCCTCCTCCTCCTCCCCCTCCTCCTCCTCCTCCTCCTCCTCCTCCTCCTCCTCCTCCTCCTCCTCCTCCTCCTCCTCCTCCTCTTTTTTCGAGGAGGGGGGAGGTGCTTCCGCGGCAGCAGCCAGGACCCCTCCTGGAATCCATCCTGGACAGTGCCTTTACCCCCGATCGACGGAAACACGGACCCCAAGAGGCAGAAAACAGAAACACTAAAACAGCGCGACCCTCGATCCTCCTCGGGACGGACCAGGCAGGGAGCAAGGAGGCGGGGGAGCAGCAGGCGTCGCCCGCGACGACGACGACGACGACGACGACGACGACGACGACGACGACGACGGCGAGTGCGACGACGACCATTGCGACGACGCAGACGGCGGCCGGCGGCGGCGGCGACGACGGCAGGCGGCGGCGGAGGGGGCGGCGCCTGGGGCAGGCGCGGGCGTGGCGGGAGCCGCCGACGGCGGCGCCCAGGGCGCTGGCGAGCGGAGGCCGGGGTCCAGGGCGAAGTCGACGGTGAGGGTGACTACGGCCTCGGGTGGCGGCTGTCGTCGATGCCATCTCTCTCTCTTGGCTCCAAACCAAGGCCCTTCTCCTCCTCCCCCTTCCTCCTCGTGCTCCTCCTGGCCACTCCTCGTCCTTCTCCTCCTCCTCCTCCCTCCTCCTCCAGCCGCGGAAGTCAGACGGCGGTGGAATCACTTCAGAAATTTCATAGCTCCCACCCTCCTCCTCCTGTTCCCGTTCCTCCTCCTAGCCCCTCTTCTCCTCCTCCTCCTCCTCCTCCTCCTCCTCCTCCTCCTCATCATCATCATCATCATCATCATCATCATCATCATCATCATCATCATCATCATCATCATCCAACTTTCAAAACGAAAAGGACGGGTCCTGGAGTAAAGGGTCCTGAAAGTTGTTCGTCGATTCCGGGCCCTAGAGGCCCTCCACGAGCCCCACGGGCGTTCAGAAACAACCAGGGATGTAGACTTCGGCCTGGGGAGAGCCCCAAGGTCTAGGACAGAGGAGGAGGAGGAGGAGAAGGAGGAGGAGGAGAAGGACCAGTTCCCTCAGGAATGCTTCGCTTCACGGCGAGGCGTCGTCGACTCGTCGTCCTGAAGGTTCGAGGATCGAGGATCGAGGTTTGGGGGCAGATGTCTGTGCTTCGGGGGGCCTCCGGGGACCTCGGGCGGTCTTCAGAAGCCGTCAGGGACCTCCTGACACCTCCAGACGGCAAGTTATTCGCTATTTTCGGCCTCTGGAGGCCCTCGACAGGCCTCGGGACCGTCAAAAAACGACTCGGGACGAGAGATCGATCCCAGGGAAGGGGTCCAGACCTCTGGGGGTCGACGCTGCGAGGCACCTCCGAGAGCCTCGGGGGGCCGAAGCTCGCGCGCGCGCCAGAAGCGTATCCTCGACTTCAGCTCCCCAGGAGCCCGTTGCGGGCCCCCAGGGCTCCAGGCCGTCAGAAAAGAAGACCGGGGCCATCAAAAAAAACGAAGCAAGACGACAAAATGGCACCGGGGATGTCAGGAGGCAACTACTGGGAGGTTTTCGTCGGAAAGGCTAACAAGGGGTAAGCCTCATTTGGGAGCTGTTACACCGGAGTGGGCCTCGGACTCAGCAGGATTAAGCCGGATTAAGCGGGATTCAGCCGGATTAAGCGGGATCAAGCTAAGTTAAGCCGGATCTCGCACCAGGGCGGAAACAGAATTTGACCTCCCAGGAGTTGCAGCCGAAGGGATGGGGTCGCGAGCTCCAGAGGCCACGTCTTGGAAGCATGGCGACCTCGATGGTCAAAGTGCAGGTTGGTGGGCAATCTCGGCGGCGAGCGAGGGGGGGAAGGTGAGAAGGAGAAGGCCTTCTCGGAAGGCAGCGGCGCTTCTCAGGAGCGCTCCGGCCTCCTGAGAAGTTGTCTGTGCCTCCGGGGAAGGCTCAGAAAACTTCTCGGAAGGCGGAGGGGCTTCCGAGCCTCCAGAGAGGGCCCGCCCCTTCGCCCTTCCCCCCTGGGGCTCGCCGCCGATCAGCGGCGCTCCCGGGTGGCCAGCACCAGCACGGCCATGACCACATTGGTCGGGGAGTCCATGACCTTCGGGGGGAAGGGGAAGGGGGAGGGGACCTCAAGGGGCCCAGGGACACACAATGAATGCACACACATGAGATGATTCCCCATACTTCCCTAGATCTTCTGGGGTTTTGACTTCCCGCCCAATTCCTATATTTTCCCATATTTTCTTTGGGATCGACGATTACCTGTGTCTGTGTGTTTCTTCCCCTCCGGAGGACCACCCCTTCGACGAGGGGTCCGACGAGGCTCTGGCCCGGCGGGGCGAGAAGAGGACGGGGGCGGCAGCGAGGCCAGCAGCGCGGGAGGGGGGAGGGCGCGACGGAGGGCGGAGGGCGGGGTGGAAAAGGGCAAGGGGGACGTGTGGGAGCAGAGGGAGACGAGGCGCTGGAGACAGTGCGGCGGAGAGGAAGGGGGGCGAGAAGCGGGAGAGCCTGGAGTCCCGAAGAACCGGTGCGGCGGCAGACCCGTGCGGCGACCGCGGAATCCCCCAGGACCTCACTGCACGGTCCGTCAACGCACGGTTTTGGGGCCTCGGATGCCCCAATCGCCAGAAACGTCCTCGGAGAACGCCCCGAATCCCAAAACCGTGCGGAAACCCCGAATCCCCACCGACTCACCACACGGTGTGGTCACCACCCCGTTTGGGGGCCCCCGAGAGAAGGAGAACGAGAGAAGGGGACCGGAAAGGGCCAGGGCAAAAAAACGAGGGGAACGATCGAGGTGCCACACGCCTGGGCTGCGCGTAGGCGGCGGCAGCGCGCACTCTCCCTCTCTCTAAGTAATGTGTCGCCATCAGGAACGTCGGTCGGCAGGTCCATGAACTAACGCATATCTTCCGCAAGGATCGTCGAGATGTTCTGCGCGGTCCTGGGCCTGCCCTACCTGCCGACTACGGCGCAGACCGCCCGCTGGCTTGCAGCGCTGATTACCCACGAAGGCACGTTGAGAACAATATTGTCGGCGTGGCGGAAGTTTCACCATCTTGCTGGGCACCGCTGGCCAGCGGAGCATTCACCAGTCCTGTCCGACGTGCGCTCTGGGGCAAGGAAGTTGATGGCACCTAGTCTGGCGCGCCCGCACATCCAGAAAGAAAGATTGCGCGCGCTGCTGCAGCGCTGCGCGGCCAGGAAGGCACTTTTCCGAGGTGCGCCGTACATGCTGGCGCACGCATTTTTGCTGCGGGCGTCATCTGAACTGCTCGAGCAGCTCTGGGCTGGGACCTTGCGGATCGACGAGGACCGCGCCGCGCATTGCGGTCCGATTCGGAGGAAAAGACAGCTGCGTCCTCAATCCACGCTGGAAGCAAGATGCGTTTGCAAGCCAGACCCGCTATTGTGCGCACGCGTGGGAATCTTGGCTACTCCCCGGCGATCTCGGCGAAGACGTCACGGTCTTCCCCTCGAGATGCTCAGGGAAATTCATAGACGGTCTCCGGGCAGAGCTCGCGGCCATCTGCACGCTGCCTGTGGGAGCTTCCAGCGTAGCTTCGCACACATTCCGGCATGGCGCCGCGATCGACATCCATGAAGTCGACGGCCGCGGCGGCGTGCGCCCGCGGGGAGCGGAGGAGCCGCGCGATCACCTCATACGCGCCAGCCTCGAGAATCGAGTCGCGCGCGCTGGCGGCCCTGTCACCGCCACCCCCTCGTCGCCCGCGACGCGACGACGCGGTTCTTCTTCACCACCGCGCCTCCAACAGTCCCCATCTTCCCTGGGCCCAGAATAAACGACATGTGTGACTGAGTACGCCCGCGGTTTGATCCACGTCGTCGACGGGGATTACATACGAATCGCCATTGTGCACCTGGGATGACCAGGTCCCCCGCCGCCCCTAGAACTGCCCGGCAACGACGGCGCGAACATTGGATGAAGCGCGCGAACAACGGCAGCCTCAGCGATGGCCATTGCAATCTCTGCCCGGGGAACGCAAAGACGCCCACTTCCGCCCTGGCGACGCCGCGCCCTCCGAGAGAACGCGCTTCACGGGCGCTTGCCTTGGGAACATTCGGCGGCGCGTTTCGAACCAGGGGGTGGGTCCCCCCCCCCAACACTCGGCGCCGTCGATCAGAACCAGGGGAACTCCCCCCCCCCCTCCCAAGGGACCAGGGAACCCAGTTCCAACCCCCACGCCAACAAGCGACCACAGAACGCGCTCTTTCCGCCATTCAGATCCCCCATCGACGCACCACATGCCACATGCGCTTCCCCATTCGCCAGAGAGGGCGCCGCGCGGCGGGCGGGGCAGAAAGTGCCCGTGCCCGTCGCGCCAGGACGACGGCGCGGCGACGTGCACACGACACATCGGCGGCCCCGCCACCCCCAGGCCCAAGGTCGACCAGGGTGCACGTGAGGCAACGCGCGGGAGACAGGATGCGGACGTTTCAACTGCAGGCTTCGGGTGGGGAGGGGGCGGGACGTGCGCCGCGCGAGGCGTCGCGCAGCATCGAGCGATCTGTCATTCGCGCCCTCGGCGCGCACACGCCCTGCCACGGTGACCTCGCGGGCGCCAGCGTGCACGCAGGCGCGCACGCATTGCGCGGCGCGTTTCCGCGCGCGCGCGTGCGCCGGCACATCAACGCAAGCAGACGCCCACGCACGCGCGCGCGGAACCATCGGACACCCGCGGGGCCACCGCGGGACCGACAAGGGGGCATCCCAGAGGACACACGCGGCAGCGAGAACATTCAAACTGCGAACAACACACACACACACACGCACGCACGCACGCACGCACGCACGCACGCACACACACACACACACACACACACACACACATACACGCGCACACACACACACACACACACACAAACACACACACACACACACACACACACGCGCACACACACACGCACGACCCCTCTCTCTCACACACAAACAAACGAACAAACAAACAAACAGACAAAAAAACAAACACACACACACACAAACAAACACACACACACACACACACACACACACACACGCACGGGGCAGCTCGCGGGGCAACCGCACGACTACCCACGGGACAGCCACGGGACAACCCACAGGACCACTGCAGACAGGGTCTGTCGGCCCACCGCCGCTTGGCTCAAGCCGCAGATCTCCCGACCGGCGTCAACCGACGAGTCTCGCGACTCTGTCACACACCGCGCCTTTGAGAAATCGCCCGCGCGCGACACGCGCGAGGGCGCGACGCCACCGGGCCCAGGAGAAGGCGAAGTGCACTCCCGTCCCGATGCGCAGCCCGCGCCTGCGCCCGCTGGACGATGGCTTCTGGCCCGTGGCCAGCGAGCGCTCGAGGAGCCGGGAGGCGAAGTCCCTCCCGTCCACGAACGAGAGCGGGGTCGCCTTCACCGGGCGCCTGAAGCGCCCCAGCGATCCACCTCGGCGACCCCAGCGACCCACCTCAGCGACCCCAGCGACCTCAGCGACCCCAGCGACCCCGGCCAGCGACCCCAGCGATCCACCCCAGCGATCCACCCAGCGCACGATCACGCGCGCCCCGGCGACCACCTCGGCGCCGGCGCGAAGTCCCCGAAGCGGCGCTGCAGCGCGCTGCTGGCCGAGGAAGGGCGCTGGCTCTGACGGGTGAGCGGCGGCACGCCGCGGGCTCGCGCGCCCTCGCCCGCGCGCCCCCGGGCCGCTGCCCCTCGCCCCCGCCGCGGAGCTGCGCGAAGCTAGCCTTGCCATTGGCTGGCGAGGGGAGAGGTGGGCTTCCTCGGGGGGCCTGGGCCTCGGGCGGCGGGGGAGCAGAAGTTCGAGAACGGGAACGAAGGAAAGCACGAGTTCGAAGAACAAGGTTGAGTTCGGGGAATGATCGAAACAGGTTCAAATATGTTCACTGGGTTCGAAAAAAGTTCGAACACAAATGCAAGAAGGGTCGCACTATGTTCCAAAGTTCGCAAAGCTTTGAAAAGTTTCAGGAAATTCGGAAACAATTCGAAACTAATTCGGGAGCACACGAAACGTTATCGCGCGCCCCAGATAGGTGGAAGTTCTTCGCCGCCGAATTGTACGTCCAAACTTGTTCCGAACGCCGGGATTCTAGCAACTATAAACTTGAACTTTGTAAATGCACTGGCCCCGAACTGTTTCCAGAATTCAATTTGTTTACCAGAAGGCCCGTTTGCGCCCTCTCAGCCAATTACAAATCTAGCACGACCTGCCCGTTTTGGGCAGGGCGCTCGCGTTTTCTCGACGGCGCTCGGCGAGCTCCGCGATACCGCCCGTACGTTACTCGCATGAAAAAGTACGGTCGGAACATTGCTTGTCGCATGTTTTGAAAGACACCGATGTACATATATAGACATATATATATATATACATATATATATATATAGAGAGAGAGATTCTCCCAACAAAAGAAACACGATCGCCATCCCAAATTTCACGCGAGAAATGAATGACATCGCAGGTTTTAACGAGTAACGCGATTTTCAACGCTGCGCCCCCCGCGCAGGGCGACGGGCGCTCAGGCGCACCGGCGCCCCCGACGACAGCCAGCGGGAAGACGCCCACCTAATTCTGCGCCCGTTCCCAGCGCCCCCGCTTCCGACAAGGTCGACCTCCCCGACAGTGCTCGCCCGGCGGTGCGGCGCCACGAAATCGCCATCACGGGCTTCATTTTTCCTTCTCGCCCCCCTCTCGTTCACTTTTCCGCCTCGCCCCTACCCCCCGGCCCAGGGCCAGCGCGGCCATCGTGGGCAAATCCACGATCGTGACCAACACGACCGCCGTGACCACCATCAGCGTCATTGAGTCCAACGCCCTCGACACCACCATCAAAATGGTTGACGCCCCCCCCCTCGCCATCATCATCGTCATCACCAGAGCGAGCGTCATCATCACCAGCATCATAAACCTAAAAATCATCGCCATTATCCACGCCACCGAAATTATCAACACCGTTAACACGATCGCCCCCGCAGTAAGATCACATCTACATCTTTTCGAACACCAAGAACTTCACAACATACATTACCAACACCCAAAACCATCACCAGTGTCAACAACACACAAAACAACGTGCGTCATCTTCAGAACCAACTGAGCAGTTCTTGCAAACACGGGAGGTGGACAAAAAGTGTTCATACCCATCGCGCCAAGACAACGGAACGGCGAAGAGCATTCAACAAACAACTGCTAACCGTCGCCCTCTGCCCATGTCGGAAGCGACGGGAAAGTAGAGCACCATTAACATTGGAGGCTTCCCCATCGCAGAGAAAGCATTCCACCGAATAAACTTCTATGATATTCCACATTGCTCATCATTTTCTTCCTACCGTATCCGATGCCGACTTCTCGGCCGCTATCCCATGCCGATCCCGTTATAGCAGTGCAAATACACGTATTGCCCGTATCCTTGTCATGGAAGAACGTGACATTGACCATCAATTTCAAATAATCGGTAGTCGGTGGCTCGTCCGTGCGACTGGGCCCATCAGACCTGGTGCGACCTAGGCGATGCCAACCCACGCGTCTCTCTACTCGGTGCACTGGCCATCGCGATGTTTAACCGTCGGCCCTGCTGAGATCCAACGAGCGCTGCGCAGACTTAGCAGAAGAAGGCGTTCGCTTTCACCACTTCCTGGGCGACACAAGATAGAATCACCAAGATTGTCCCTAACTGAAGCGGCACCACCGACCAAGCCGAGTTCCAAAGTGACCTTTTGGCTTTTCCCACTCAGTCCTGGAACACGCAGCCCCTGGCCGACGTCCTTCCAGCAGGCGAATCGATCTCCGCAACCATTCCATTCAGGTGGCTCTGTGCTTCCACAAATAAGATTTGAAACCGAACACGGCCCCTGTCGAAATTGCAACGTCTGTTTGTCACCAGGAACGGCCCGGAATATCCCGCGGTTGTCCCAACGGCTGCCTTCATCATGGCCCTCTTCAGCTGGATCGTTATATGATGGTGTCCCTCCATAACCACCATTGTCACCGTGCTGACCTGAATGGCGAACACTCGCTCCAAATCCACTTGAGGCTGGCATGACAGGCATGACTGCCCCAGTATGAATGTTGCGTCAGTCGCCGCTTGGTTACTCAAATATGCTCCTCTGTGTAAAAAATACAGAAATACATCAAAGTCAAAATCAGAATGAAACAGTTACTGCGATAAGTTCCCCCTTGCTACGAGCAAAGGATACAGTCTTGAATCACATGCGATTGCATTGGGCCGTCTCCAACACGCCCACCATCAAAACTGATTTGACGATGGTAGAGAATGCGCCACTTCTTGGAATGCACGCATGGCCCATCGTTGGCATTCGCGGGAAGCCCCCCTACCCTTAGGTCGGGCATGTCCCGCTACCAGCGGATTTGGGACCAAAAATGCAAAATAGTCTGAAAAATACTCAGAATATGCTCAACTCAAAAAAAAAAAAAACACTCCCCCAACTATGTTTCAACGATTTTTCAGCGTTCCTCCCGTAGAGGGACACGCCCGGCTTAGTTAACCCTACCCTTCCTCTTCCCCCTCGTCCCTCCTCCTCCTCACCCCCCCCCCCCGCCGCCCTCGCTGGGCAGGGAGACGGCGCGGGGCCAAGCAGGTGAAAGGGGGAGGAGCGCGAGGCTACGGAGTTGGCAGGGGGGAGCGAAGCGTCGGGGGAGCGAGGCGGGGGGGGGAGGCGGGGAGCCAAGCAGAGGAGGGGACCGCCCGCCACTCTGCCATTCCCCCCTGGCCCGCCCCGCCGCTAGGCACCGGTTTCTCCTCCTCCTCCTCCTCCGGAGGAGGACACAGGGGGGCTCCTGGGGGGGGCGCCGGAGGGGGCCTCTGAGAGGCCCCGCAGCCTTCTGAGGGAAGACCCGCCCCCCCCCCCTTGAGCAGGGACCGACCGATCTGGCAGTCCTATACGCCTACCACGAGAGGTTCTTCGAACCCAAGAATGCTCTAAGAACTGAAGCCGTGCTCTCAGAACCTGAACCCGATGTGCCAAAACACGATCAGCTAAAACACGACAGTCTCAGCCAGAAATGCTCTACAAGAACACTTCGCGCAGACAAACAAGGGGTTTCTGTGGTGGGCCTATGTGAGACGCACAAGGACACACTAGTACCATGTGCCCTCCTCGTTGGAGGCGTGCGTCCGACCCGAACAGAAAGTAGAAGCATATTGGCGTGTACCGTTTCCCGAGCGGCACGGCCAGAAGGCGCCCGCCACGACGCGAACACCCTAAGACTCCTCGGTGCGCGCGTCGCCCCCTCTGGGGCGACGCACACCTGGTATTGGTAGGTTGGGGCGCCGCCGACTATTAGGCAAGCCAGGACGCTTCGCCACCCCCGTCACCTCTCCCCCCCTCGACGCGCCGACGACCCTCCCCTTCACCGCTCCCCTGCCTGCTGCGGCACCTCGGCCAGCTGGCGCCGCACCTGGCCGGCGGCGTGCCGCGCGCGCGCGCGCGAGCCTCCCCCCGCCCCGCCCCCTGCCCTCGCCATCGCTCGGACGTCCATTTCCCGTGCATGCTTCGGTTTCGTGCGTGTTTTTTGTTGCTCCATGGTCCAGGAGGGTCCTCGATGGTTCTCGCCGAGGAAAAATGCACACGTCCGAGCGATGCCAAGTGCCTGCGCGCGCCCTCTTCTGGGGCGACGAGATCTGCTCGTGTCCTCTGCTCCCGAACCCAGCGGCGGTGCACACGCCGCACCCTCCTGAGCTCGGCCGAGGGGGGCGCAGAGTTCGGACGGGCATGACCAGGGAGCCGTGGACACGTCCGGATGTGTACAGATGTCGCCGCCGGCCCGCCCGCCGCCTCGCCGCCCGCCCGCACGCCGCCCCCCGGCAGACCCGAGCTGGAGCGAATCGCGAGAGCGGACCAGGTCAGAGACGCCTCGGATCTCCCGCGAAATCGCCCCTGAGCCAACCGAGAGCGGGTCGTCGCGCCTGGCTCTGGCTGGCCCTGGCCTGCTCCGTGACGGTGGAGGCACTGGACAGGGAGCCTTTCGATAAAAAAAGCCAGGGTCTGGAAGCTGGTGGAAAACTCCCATGGTGCATCGGCCATGGGTACCACCGCCGCCCTCATCTCCTCCTCCTCCTCCTCCTCCTCCTCCTCCTCCTCCTCCTCCTCCTCCTCCTCTGCTCCCCCTCCTCCTCCTCTGCAGCGCTGGCGTCATTTCCCGTGCCATGCCACGGCATGCAATGCAATGCCAGGTTGATACTACGCTTCGCGGTGCTCTTCTACGCCGCCCTCATCAGATAAGGAATGCTCAAGAGCCTGCAGCCTCCTGGGTACACTCCTTAACGAACGCCCCCACCGTATTTGGGTCTCCCCTTGGCCTCGCGCACTTTCGAATACAAAGTCAACCATCACATTTACTTGACCTTTCCTCGACCTATACGACCCGGCGTTCCGTACACGGATGGAAGGCAATTCCTCTTTCGAAACGATGCTCTCGCGTGAGACTTCTGGGAAGCGGACGTCCAAGACTTCGGCATTCTGCAACACTTGGACGGGTGGAGGGCATGTCCTTCTCATAATGAGGCTATCCCTGGGCATACTTGAAAGGCTCTCGCGAAGGACTTTCGCGCAGCGTACGTGCCACAACTGTGAAAACCTGCAACGCTTAGACGGAAGGAGGGCATGTTCTTCTCAAAATAGGCTTACTCTGGGCGTCCTTCAAATGTAGGGATGATGCTTAACAACAGGCGCCCTCGTCAGACTGGCGGACCGACCATCGCTCGTCATTCAAGGGGGGGGCCTGCAGTGGAAAAGAGAAATTGTCTGGATTGAAGAGTAGGTGACTTGGGACGGGAGGGTGTACTGCAGCATCGTTTGATGAATCTTGGGTTCACTCTGGTCCTCCTCCTCCTCGTCCTCCTCCTGTATCTGTCCCTTCCAAGATGTTTCCCAAAGGGGGTCCACAACCGCTGGGGGAGCAAATTCGCCGATCCTGTCGGCGTGTGTGGGGTGTCTGTCTGGTCCCGTCGACGGGACGCCATCTCTGTTTATCCTTCCCCGTCGGGGGTGAGAGAGCACTCTCCCGTCGTCGGGGGGAGGAGTCCAGAGATTGAGAGAAATCGACCCACGCCGTAGTCACGTCAAAGGGAAGCCCCTTCCCTTTGTCCCTTCCCCGGCGGAGGGGGGCGGGTCCCGGGGGGGGAGGGTCAGACTCGCATCCCCCGTTTGCGGCTTTTACAAAGGGGCCCTCTGTAGATGCGCTGGAGGACGGGGGGATCGCCACGACGGATCCGCAAGAGCGCCCCTAGACGGCCAAAGCCCAACAAGACAGCCCAAGAACGCCTAAGGACGGCCAAAGGGGGCCCCCAGACGGCCAAAGGACGCCGCCTAGGTACGTTTCCCCCTCGGGCGCCCCCGAAACCATGAAAAGCTGTTTCCAAAAGACCCCAGAATGCCACAACACCGTCTCCTCCTCCTCCTCCTCCTCCTCCTGCTCCTCCTCCTGCTCCTCCTCCTCCGCCCCTCCTCCTAATCCTCCTCCGCCTCCTCCTCCTCCTCCCTCCTCCTCCTCCTCCTCCTCCTCATCCTCCTCCTCCTCCTCCTCCTCCTCCTCCTCCTCCTCCTCTCCTCCTCCTCCTCCTCCTCCTCCTCCTCCTCCTCCCCCCCGTTCCCCCCTCCTCCTCCTCCTCCTCCTCCTCCTCCTCCTCCTCCTCTCCTCCTCCTCCTCCTCCTCCCTCCTCCTCCTCGTCCTCCCCCTCCTCCTCCTCCCCTCCTCCTCCTGCTCCTCTCCTCCTCCTCCTCCTCCTCCTCCTCCTCCTCCTCATCATCATCATCATCATCATCATCATCATCATCATCATCATCAGCATCATCATCATCATCATCATCATCATCATCATCATCATCATCATCATCATCATCATCATCAGCAGCAGCAGCAGCAGCATCGTCATAATCACCGTCACCGTTATCATCATCACCCGCACCATCACCACCGTCAACATCATCAGCACCATCGTCATCATCAGCATCATCATCAGCATCATCATCATCAGCAGCATCATCAGCATCATCATCATCATCATCATCATCATCATCATCATCAGCATCATCATCATCATCAGCATCATCATCATCGTCAGCATCGTCGTCGTCGTCATCATCATCATCATCATCATCATCATCATCATCATCATCATCATCATCCTTCCCCTCTCTCCTCCTCACTCATCCGCCTCCTCCACCCTTCCTCTTCCCCCCCCCACTCCTCCTCCTCCTCCTCCTCCTCCTCCTCCACCTCCTCCTCCTCCTCCTCCTCCTTTTCCTCCTCTTCCTCCTCCTCATCCTCCTGCTCCTCCTCCTCTTCTTATTATTATATTGTTCGTATTATTATTAGTGTTATTATTGTTCGTCTTCTTATTATTAGTATTATTCGTCCTCTTATTATTATGATTAATAGTAGCAGTATGATTCGTATTCTCATGATTCTTAGCACTCGTCTGTTTAGTATTAGTATTCTTGTCAGTATTAGTATTACTATTGTCCGTATTCGTTTTAGTCGTATTGATATTCTTATTATGAGTATTAGTATTATCATTCGTAGTCGTATTATTAGCAGTATTACTATTATTAATCGTCTTATTATGAGTATGCTTATGATTATTCTTAGTATTCTTATTATGCGTGTTATTATCATTAGTCGTCGTATGCGTATTGGCTTCTTCAGCTTCGTGTTATTATTAGCATTCGTAGTCTTAGTACTCTTCTTCTGCTTCGTCGTATTATTAGCACTAGTATTATTATTCGTCTTAGTATTACTCTTCGTAGTATTCGTATTCTTAATCGTAGTCGGATTCGTCTTAGTATTCGCCTTCTTCTTAGTAGTGTTATTAGTGTTCGTATTCTTCGTCTGCCTATTACTATTGTTCGTATGACTATTATTATTCGTCTTCGTGTGATAGTATTATTATGCTTGTTCGCAGTGTTAGGATAATTCGTATTCGTCTTCTTATTATTGGTATTCTTATTATGATTAGTATTCTTCGTGTTCGTATTATTATTTGTAGTATTAATATCATGGTTCGTCTGCGTCTTCTTATTATTCGTATTATTCGTAGTATTCGCCTTATGTGTCTTCGTCTTCTTATTATTGTTCGTATTCGTCTTCGTCTTCCTCGTATTATCAGTAGCATTCGTATTATTAGTCGTCTCATTATTATTATTATGATTATTATTGTTGTGATCATTATTTGTATTATTCGTCTTCTTCATCTTCTTATTATTATTCTTATTATTAATGTTATTCCTCCTCCTCCTCCTCCACCTCCTCCTCCTCCTCCTCATCATCATCATCATCATCATCATCCTCCTCCTCCTCCTCCGCCTCCTCCGCCTCCGCCTCCGCCTCCGCCTCCGCCTCCGCCTCCGCCTCCCCCCCCTCCTCCGCCTCCGCCTCAGCCTCCGCCTCCGCCTCCGCCTCCGCCTCCGCCTCCGCCTCCTCCTCCTCCTCCTCCTCCTCCTCCTCCTCCCTCCTCCTCCCCTCCTCCTCCTCCTCCTCCCTCCCTCCTCCTCCTCCTCCTCCTCCTCCTCCTCCTCCTCCTCCTCCTCCTCCTCCTCCTCCTCCTCCTCCTCCTCCTCCGCCTCCTACCCTCCCCCCCGCGCGTTTCATTTTCGTCGTCTTCAGGGTCGGCGGCACCGGCCGTAGCGCCTTCGCAAGAGTCAATTGGCTTGGGCACAACATTTGGCCGCATGGACGTTTCCAAAAGCGAGGGGGCGGCGGTGGTTCGCCATAGGCGTCTTCGATCCTAACTGTATGTGCAGCAATACTAGTATTATCTGTATAGATATATATGTATATATGTATGCATACACCAACATCCATACGTACGTACGTACGTGCATGCATACAGGTATACATACATGCATAAATACATACATGCATGCATGCATGCATGCATACATACATGCATACATACATACATACATACATGCATGCATACATGCATGCATACATGCATACGTACATACATGCATACATACATACATACATACATGCACGCATGCATACATACATACATACATACATACATACATGCATACATGCATACATGCATACATGCAGGCATACATACATGTATGCATACAGACAGGCAGGCAGAAAGGCAGGCAGGCAGGCAGGCAGGCAGGCAGACAGACAGACACACAGACTAACAGACATGCATACATGCATGCACATACATACGCCTACCTACCTACATGCACACACACATGCATACACGAATACTTACATGCATGCATGCATAAAGACATACATGCATACATACCTGCATGCATACATACATGCATGCATGCATACATACAGACATGCGTACATGCATGCATATATGTTTGTGTAGGCACATGCGTGCACCAATGCATGCATACATATACACATACACATCTACATATATACACATGCGTGCATATCTATATAGGTATACATGCGCGCATGCATGCACACACGCATGCACGTATACATACATACAAACATGTGTATGCACATGCATGCATGAATGTATGCATGCATACATTCATACATACATACATACATGCATGCATGCATACATACATGCATACATAGATATGCATACATACATGTCCGAACATGGTTGGCTGTATGTGTACATGAATGCATGCACACATGCGTATACACAAACATACATACATACATACATACATACAGACAGACAGACAGACAGACAGACAGACAGACAGACAGACAGACACACACACACACTCACACACACACACACACACACACACACGACATCCTACATGGGCAAAGCACGAAAGATGGCCATCAACCCCAGCCCAGACAATCCCAACACACCTCTCCGATGGCCTCCCGCGGCCATCCAGGTACTCAAAATGAACCTCCTGCGGGCCCTCCCAGCCAGGCAGATCACGCAGTCGTTGCCGGGTAGATCGCGCGAGCAAAAGATTGCAAAAGCGACCCAGGACTACCCCAACTGTCAAGGAAGGACGATGACAGCCCAAGATGGCTCCAAGACGGCCCATGGGAGCTCCAGGAGGACTTCCAAGAGGCACCAAAATTCAAAGTGAACAATACTCATGTCCGAAAGATTGAAACATGCCCGCCCCTTCGATCTGAAAGAGCGCCCAAGACGGCGCCAGAGAGCCCCAATATCGTCCAAGACATCCCAGAGAGGCCCCTGAAGAGGCCCGAGAAGTGGCCCACAGTGGCCAGAGACGGGCGGCCGCCCCAGCCCCCGATACGACCCAAGAGAGCGAGCCCCAAGACACCACAAGAGCCAAAAAACGCCCCAAGAGGGCGAGGAGGAGGAGGAAGGGGGGGAGGAGGAGCGATCCCCAAACTCCTCCCTGGTCAGGGCGACGAGATCTATACACATCCTCAGCCCCTGGCCGGGCCCGTGCCGGGCCCAGGAGCGGTGAGAACGCTCGCCTGGCTCGGCCAGGGAGGCACACGCGCCGATCCTGGGCCCGGGATGGGCCTGGCCAGGGGCAGCGGGTGTGTGCAGACCTCGTCGCCCCCCGGCGCCCGCGTCGGACCTCCGCGGCGCTGCCTTCTGGCCACCGAGGGCCGACTGCGGGCGGCGGCGGGCCGCGGAGCGGGGCCCGGGCGCGCCTGGCCCCAGCGGAGGGAGCCCGCGGCCCTCCTGGCGCTCGCGAAGGCGTCCTCGGCCCACTGCGCCGCGGCGCCGCAGGCGCCCTCCGGCCCGTGCGGGCACAGGTCCCGCGCCGCGCCGCAGCCCTGGATCCGGGGGGGGGGGCGTGGGGAGGCGGGGGCAGGGGCAGGAGGCGGGGCTGGAGGGGACGTCGCTCCTGAGCGGCAGCGAGGTGGAGGAGGCGCGAGCACCCAGCCGGGCAGGTTCAACAGCGGGAGAGCCGCGCCCCCGCGTACGAAGACCCCCCGGCTGGAGGGCCCGCTGCGGGGGCCAGGTGAGGGGAGCCGTGGCGCGCCAGCACCTGGGCGGCGCGGCGGCTGTCCCGAGGAGAGTCCCCCCGCGGGGTCGCCAGTCCCCGTGTGGAGAGGGGGGCGGGGACCGAGGGGAACGCGGGTAGCGGGGGCGCCAGGCGGGGGGAGAAGGGGGTTCAGGCGAAGGAAGCGACGGCAGGCGTTGGTAAGAGCAGGGGAGGGAAGTGGGCCGGGAGAGGAGGGGCGCGGGGAAAGAATGGGAGGGGCGGGAGGTGGACAGGGGATGGGGGCGAGAACTGGAGGAGGGAGGGGGGCGAGCGGGGAGTCCCCCTCCCCCCCCCCTCCCCTTCCCTCGGGGCCGCCCCGAACCAGCGCAGACCCGGGTCGGCGAAGGCCCTGTCACGAAGGCCGCTTAGTGGCCCCCAAACCTGGGCCAGCCGAGGGTGGAAAAAGAAAATCGGCCCCACGTGGCTCCCAAACGCGGGTCGGCTGACCCAAGTTAGTGCGCCCCGATCCCCCTCACTCCGCCTGCCCCCGCGGGAGGGGAAACGCAGGGAGGAGAAGGCGGAAGGAGACGGGCGGCAGACAGCAGGGAGGGGGGAGCAGAGAGGCGGCGGCTGCCGCTGATACGTACCATCACGCCGCCGCCAGCAGACGCCGACGCCGACGCCGACGCCGACGCCGACGCCGACGCCGACGCCGACGCCGACGCCAACGACGACGACGACGACGACGACGACGACGACGACGACGACGACGTCTACGGCAACGACGGACCGACCGACCGGCCGACCGGCCGACTGACCGACCGACCGACCCCTGGACCTGTCCTGGGGCGTGTTCTCGAAGTCCAACTTCCGACGCTGATCCGGCTGTGGCGCCAAGAGCGCCCGAGCAGGCCACCCCCCAAACCTCCACCTCCACCCTCGAAGACGACGAGGGCGACGATGAGCGAGCAGTGAGGCGGGAGCGAGACGCCGGCCTCCCTGGGAGGCCTCCAGGCTGGCCCACGACGGGCCCGCGAGCCCGTCCTGGGGCGCGGCCCCGCCAGAACTAGAGGAACGAAGAATGGCATAAACATAAAAACTCAGAGGTCCGCGGTTTGGCGCTGGACCCCCCTTCCTGGCGCGCGGAGCCCGCCAGTGGCGGCGCCGGCGGCGCCGCTAGGGGGCCCAAGCGCAGATCCAAGAAATCCGCGCGGACCTCCGAGTGTTTATGCTTACGTCATTCTTCGTTCCCCTACACCCGGGGCGCGGCCCCGCCAGAACTTCCAGAACTTCCACAAGGAAACAATCAATGACATAAGCATGAGCACTCGGATGTCCGCGCGGATTTCTCGCATCCGCGCTGGACCCCCCTGGCGGCGCCTCCGGCGCCGCCCCTAATGCGCTCCGCGCGCCAGGGAGGGGATCCAGCGACGATCCGACACATCCGCGCGGCCCTCCGAAGTTTTCTGTTTCTGCCACTCTTCCCTCCCCCATTCCAGGCGAAGCCGGCCGTAGCCACGAGGGCGCCCAGGCAGGCCGAGGCCGTGCCAAAGGCGCCCGCAAGCCTGAAGAGTCTTCCCGCGCGCGCGGTCACAGCGCCACCGGCGACCCCGGGGCGCGCGCAAGCCAGGGGGCTCCCTGGCAAGCCGGGGGCAACGGCTGGGCCACAGCTCGCACGGGCGGGCCCGCACGCAGGGCCCTTGCCTGGAGGAAGAAGTCGGCCGAGGGTGCCCAACTCCTCCTCCTCCTCCTCCTCCTCCTCCTCTCCTCCTCCTCCTCCTCCTCCTCCTCCTCCTCCTCCTCCTCCTCCTCCTGCTCCTCCTCCTCCTCCTCCTCCTCCTCCTCCTCCTCCTCCTCCTCCTCCTCCTCCTCCTCATCCTGTGGGTACTGTGGGTACATAGAGGCGCAGTTACACCACGTGCAACTACGCCTGGGGCCTGGCCCAGATTAAAAACTCGAACAAGACTCCCCCAACCTGACCTGTTGGATGAAATGAATTCGGCAAGAGGTAGATGGGAGTCTGCCTGCCAGCAAGGCACGCTTCTCCCTACTCTTGCTACTAGGCTCACACTTCGACCTCAGCTTCAAAGCTTTCTGGGTCCCAAACTTTCCGCAGCGGGAACAAAACAAAACTGGGAACCCAGACTCAACCACATACGCCAACTGTAGGGCGTGCCCACAATGGTCATTGAGAACCTCTAGGAGGGAGGGGTTGAGGCCGACGCATGGGGTCTCCGTGAGCGGTGAGACCGTTCTCAGACACACAGAGCACCGCCAACGATCAATGCGCCAGTAAGGGATGTGTGGGGCAATTGGGGGCCTCGTCACGCGGGGGCCCGCAAATCCCTTTGTCCAGCACACCAAACAGGTCAGCGGGGGGGGGGCCATAGGGCTAGGACTTCCCCCATCCCAAGAACACTTCACGATATTGTTTGAACGTCCTCGAAACGGCATCGGAAAACTCTGGGCTGAAGTCGCGCGCACGTGCGCCCTGGCCTGCAAGCCAGTCAGCCGCCTTATTTCCCAGGACGTCCATTTTTTCCTCCTCTGACATTGCAGAGGTCACTTCCAGGTGAGCCTTCACTTTTTAGAAGGTCACCCACTCTCCGCAGCCAAGGTTCTCAGCTACCTCGCGCCAGAAATGAGCAGAATCACACTTCGCCGCCAGCACAGAGTCAGGCGACCCCTGAGCCCTGAGAGGGGCCGCAAAATCAACCCCGAGGGCGGTCCTGGGGCCACCATTATCTTCGCTGTCCAGGTGCAGGTGGGCCATCATGACCCCGATCTGTTCGCCTACTCTGCTGCTCTGGCCGTACAACTTGGGCACGTGTCCATATATTCCTTTAGTTAGGTTCCCCTGAGAATCGATAGAAGCAACCCCCCACCCCGCTCTCGCCAGGTACCCCATGTTTGGTCTCAGGCAGGAACCGCCACTATAAAGTCGGTCCCCAGGGCCGAAGGCAAAGGGTTCAACCTTCTGGCCTTCCTGGTAGAACGTAACACGCCAGTCCTGTGGGGGGTGGAGCGGCTTCCAGCCGCGCCAACCATCCTCTTGTGAACAGCAAAGCGTTCTCTCCTGCCTCCAGTGCCTGTTGCACCGTGGACTCAAGAAAAACTTCAGCCCGCTTTTCTGCGCCGCGGGGGCACACCCATATCCGATGAAAAACCGTGTCAGGGACCCCACATCCGAATTTGCAGTCAGGAGCTATAGAGTAGCCCCAGGACCTCAGCTTCGCGGCCGTCGGGGTGGCCCCTCCAAAAGCCTGCCTAACAGTAACTACTTCCTTTGGTTCCAAAGCATGCTTGCACGAGAGCACTTGCGCAGCCGCCTCAGACCCTGTTCAACGATCGGAACACTGCTTGGGTCCTCTATGGCGTGGCATGCTGCTTTCGCTACTTTCTCGCTGCTTTCTGAATTCGGGATTCCTTATACTACAACTCAAAACGTTTGGCTCTGAAAGCAGGGGCCACCTTCAGCACATCAAGGGCCACCCCTTCGAGGCCGAGGAAAGAGGTAGGACCCAGAGCCGTCCAACCAACCTCCCAACACCAGGGGAAGAGATCGCTGAGGGGCCCCTTGCTTTCCTCAAACCAGTTCTTTGCTGCTGCCTGCGGGTTGAAACGGGCCTTTGCGGCCATCCAGAGCCCTGTCAGCACAGGTGCAGGTAGAACGTCATCATGCCGTCGCTAAAGGTCAGGTCGCGGTGCAATTGTCGCCCACCATTCTGCACAAAATCTGAATATACACAAGCTGCACGCACGAATCGGGCCCTTAGTCCGCGTGAGCGACCATACCAAATCCGCATTTAGATCTTTCAGCGACATGCCCATGGACTTGGAAACTTGCCCTTCTTAGACGAAATACTTGCGACGGACTGGATGCATATACATCTCCTACATCCAGGATGATAGGTACCATATTCGTGATCGCCATGTCTAGCCTTGTGTCCCTTATTTAGCTTCATGGCGGCTAACTTCTTCTTCTTCTTCATGGGGAACTTTCTCCATCTCTGTGCACGCGCGGTGCGTGCCTTGTGGTGGGCCCGATGCTTCCCACCAGTGTAATCAACCAAGATTCATGATCCCACATGTGCCTGGCCCCCCCCCCCCAGTCCACTGAACATGTTCCTCGCCAACTCCGCCATGTTCCCCGCGGAGGTGACCATGTTGAGCTTATGTGATGCCAGGGGTAAGCCAAGCTCTTGCTGCAGTCTATGTCCAACTCGGTGTACGTGATCTCACATTTCTCTCAGAACATTGACCATCGACTCACCCCAGTGATGTTGCGAGAGGTCGTCGATGTGCAATGACAACATATTCGAGGCATTGGCACGAGCTTCGCATTCATCGCCCATTATCGGGGATCAGAGACAGCTTAGCATCAAAAGGTGTACTTGCTGATCCTGCCACTATTCCCCTGTTCGGGTCCAGTGGGCCCATCAGCATGCCATCGTGTTGTAGGTATCGTGGCCATGTGTAGCTACGCATGAACATCCTCAATACTGCCACTGGAAAATTCGTGATGGTGCAATTTGTCGCCAGAAGATCCCAAGGTACATTCTCGTAGAAGTGCAACAGACCCCATAAGACTGCAATATAGTACATGCCCATGTTGTTTGCACCCCCTGATACAGCTGCTCGCCTCCACACCGTATCGTTTGGGCATCTGCCTTGGGACATGGAGCACTGGCCTCGTAGTCCTTGGTAGTTTCCCATCTGCGTAGCCTGTCTCGCCAAGAACGTCCTGCCATCCTAGTAGATGCACTATAGAATCCTTGCGGTCGTCGTCCTCCCGCTGGCCCGTGATTCAAATGCACAATGAATATCTGCACCGAGAAAGGATTTCGGTCACACATCTCCATAAGTAGTAGCAACTTCCCAAACACAGCCCTCGTATCCTCACCAAGTAAGCTGCAGTGCCGAGGGTGCCATCCATCGGGTTGGCACGTGCCTGGCTTGAAACGCTCGCTGATCCTCTGGATTTCCTCGGCAGACGGAAGCTCCATAACTGGTACAGGGTGCGTTCCACAAGTGGGAATATGTCTGGGACCATCGCAACATACCCATGCAGTACTCCACTTTAAACGTTCCTCCCTCATTCTTTGCTCTAGTGAACATATGTCGAGTGATTGTTCTGCCATATCTTTGAACTGGACCTTCTGCGGTGTGATCTTCTCTGTCAGGTAGCCGCGTGCCCTACGCGCCCCTGACTCCATGGCCTGGCCACACCATTCCTTCCACTTCCGTCTGCGGATACTGCTTGACTTTACCACCACATGATCATGCCAGAAAGCACACACTTGGATAACTGCATCCAGCCCAGGTAAACCACAATCCGTAGATACATGCATGAGGTGCCCCACTGATCTGAGTACTGAATTCCAGAACAATGCTCCATCTTTCCACGCAACTGCTAACGGGCTCTTGGCGTCGAGAACCTCCAGTGACTTGACAAGCCTGCGGTAGTACTTAGTGAACTTCTTCTGGCAGCACAGCGCTTTTATCTCTTTCAGGCGTTGCATTGCCCATGGGAGTGCTCTCTGTGGGTCCCGCCTACCGTAGGACCTGGTAACGAGTACCTTGCGCACTGGCATATATGCCTACGTGATAGGAGAACTCCCAGGGAGCCCTTTACCATCATAACCTGTTACATGCAGCACCTCATTCCACATATCATACGTCTTGTTCAGCACCTCGATCCCTGCCTTCAGGTTGTCGCCCTGTAAGGTAGTCTGATCTGTGGAGCCACCAACCTTGCTACACAAAAAAATCGCATAAAAGTCGATTTGGTTCTGACATGTCAGGGTCAGGAAAGAGAGGGCAGACCACGCGAGTCCCAGGTGGGGTTTGGCACTTCTTGGCAATCCTGACCTTCTGATCACCTGACGTTGCCTTGAAAGTAAGTTTGACTGGTCGGTGAGGGACCACTGGAAGATCCACCATGACTTTAACCTTTTCCACCATCGTATCAAGTGTTCTACTGATCAGGTAGTAGTCAATTGTGGTGCTATGGTCGTCGAGCACATATGATGGGGCCAGCTAACCCCCACGCACGATGCCGTCGAGCATGTGCAACGGTACAGAATCACTGATCGCATGAGGTGGGTTGTTCCAGTCGCCTCCAATACAGAACGGTACCCGATGTGTAACTGCTGCTTTGCCAAGCCCACGTATCAGCTTCAGGTTCCGCGGAGTGAGGCCTTCACCGACATACATGTAGATAGTACCAACCATGAATACACCCAACTCAGTCGATCTGACATAACATCGGGCAGCACGTCCTGGTTGTACGCATCCATCGTCTGGGGCCCAGCATGACAGATGTGCTCGCATCAGTATGCATACCCCACCTGACGCCCTTCCCTTTTCTGTGGCAAGGGCGGGGCCTCCAAACATAATCCAGCCCATACCAGCCACCTTCTTAACCATTGCCGCATAGCGTGATGGTAGGAGACAGTGTTTGGACACAAATAATAGCCGGTGATAGCCGAGGCAGCACATTTTCCACTGAGACCCAAGAAGAACCATTTATCGTGATAATACAAAACTCGGGGTAACTGTGGCCATTCGTTCTCCAGTGCTCCCACCAGAAAATTGCTTAGCCCTCGGTAGTGCACGTCCTGGTATGTGCAGCCCCTGCCCTTCAGCACGGCCGCCTGTATCACTAGTATGATGTCCGTCACCCTCTCGGCGGTGATGTACCTGCGCCCTTGCCGTCCTTGTCCTTGCCCTTGCCCTTGTCAAATGGGTGGTTGGGCATGGGGACGCCTGGGGCCTGCAGGATCTCCGCCGCCCTAGCTCTCGCTGGGGATGCGCTTGTCGTCGGTTCTGGAGCTGCTGACGGTCGTCCTGGTGGCCCTGCTTCAGCCGCACGTCCATCAGCACCTTCTGTTGCTTTAGCTTCATCTGGATTTTCTTGTTTGCGCTTCTTCTTGAGTCTCTCTCTCTCTCTCTCTGAGCGTCATGTTCTTTCTTGAGTGCCTCTGCTCTGTCTTTGACCGCACCAAACATGGTTTTCGCCTGCTCTGCGAAGATCTGCTTGAGGTCATTGAGGCGTTTCTCTGCTTCAGCTGTATCTTCTGGGGAAAGGTCAACGTAATCACTGAGCCCGAAGAGCTCGCCTGGGCTAATGTCCAAAAACTCCACGTTACCTGCCATGATCCCGTCCAGAGACACAGCAGCTGGGGCATGTTTCTTCTCATGGTGAAGATGTCCTGATACCCCAGCATGGAGTTCCTGTGTGGCTTCTTTGTATATATGTTCTTGTTCTTCAAGGTCCTCTGACAAATTTTTGATCTGGCCGTCATGGTACCTCCTCCTCCTCGTCCTGCTCCTCCTCCTCCTCCTCGTCCTCCGTTGTGATTCTTTCACGGCGCCAGGGCGTCTGGGGTAGCCTGGATCTCCAGGCAGCCCGCATGCGCTCCTCGCGCCCCGCCGCGACGCGCCCCGTTGAGAGTGGAAGGAGGAGGAGGAGGAGGAGGAGGAGGACGAGGAGGAGGAGGAGTGCTCTGCAGAGAAGCTGCAAGTTGAGGTTCCACAGAATGTGGAAGGGGCCAGGGCTGAGACAGCTGGCAGGGGACCGAGGCGAGTCCGCCGCAGCTGGGGCGAGGTCGCCAAGGCGGGAAAAAAATGATCCGCTAAATGCTTAAAATATGTGTTTCACATGTTTGAGACATGTTCAACAACTGTTTTGGACATCTGGAAATTATTTGGCAACTTGCTTCCTCTTCATTGATCGACTTCCACAAAGCCACTTCTCCTAGCCTCCCAGCAACACGCTCGCGCCCCCACACCGCCCTGGAAAAATCATGCAACTTGAGTCGTCGATTCGTTTGATTTCGTCGCCGTCGGATGTTCGTCGTCTTTGGCTGGGGGGGGGGGGGGGGCGTTTTCGGGCACGGGAGCAGTCAAAAGAACGGACCCGGGAGGGCAAACCACCCCCAGGGAAGTCCCCGGGACGATTCCTCGACGCGACCTCCAGATCGGCACCGGCCCAGGGGGGGGAGTGAGACGGGGCGGGCCTCCTCGATGGGTTTGGAGGTCCTCCGCCTTCTGAGTTTCCCAGGCCGTCCCCGAGGACACAGAAAACCTCTCAGAAGGCCAGAGACCTTCTGAGAACCCCCGCCGCCTTCTGAGAGGGCCTCCTCCTTCTCACTTGCCCCCCCCGCTAGCCGCCGACCAGGAAAGTCCCCCGGACGATTCTTCGACACGACCTGCAGAAGCTGCGTTACCTTCCCAGGACCAGTGCAGGTCCCGAACCCAGACCCCCGACGTGTTTATTTTTGTCCAAATGCCGACCCCCAGAGGTCTCGACCCATTCCCTGGGACCGACTTTTCATCCGGAATGGATTTTCGACGGTCCTGGAGCCCGGCGAGGGCCCCTGGAGGCCGAAACAACAAAAAAAAACTCCCGTCTTGACTTCTTCACGACGCGAAGGGGTCTGGAGACCCCGAAACCTCTCGACGCTGGCCGCCCCGCAAGGCTTTCGAGTCGTGCCCCAGGGCAGGCCCAGTGGCAGCGCCGCAGGAGCCCGTCGCCCGCCAGCGAGAGCGAGCCGCGCCGCTCCGGCTCCGCCCACTCGGCCGCCCGCTCCGCCCGCTTCGACGACGCCCGCGCCTGTCGACACGACGACGACAACGACGACGGCAACGACGACGGCGACGACGACGACGACAGCGACAGCGACGGCGACGACGACAACGACGGTGACGGCGGCGGCGGCGGCGGCGGTGGCGGCGTCAACGACGACGACGACGACGACGACGGCGGCGGCGGCGGCGGCGGCGGCGACGGCGGCGGTGGCGGCGGCGGCGGCAACGACGACGACGACGGCGGCGGCGGCGGCGGCGGCGACGGCGGCGACGACTCTCCCAGCGACGACGGCGACGCCCACGATGCCAGGTGAGACAGACGAGTGTAGCAGAAGCAGCCCCAGTGGCGGTAACGAGCGCTGGAGGGCAGAAGCCAGGGGCAGCGAGCTGGGCAAGCGGCGACAGTGAGCGAGGGGAGGGCGCACTGAATGGCAAAGGATCATTAATAGCCTGTGGGGCAACGAGCTTCAGGTGACGCAGAGCACTGGCAACGAGCGCGGCCAGTTGCGGAAGAACCGCCGTGGGGCGCTGTGCAGAGGCAATCCTCTACAGTCCGAGCGGAAGCTTCAAGTGCATTGCGCAACGGAGACGGCCACATGCTCATGGTAGGCCTGAACGATTACCAGCAGTAATCGAACAGTGTCTCGATTCAGCTGACGTGCTGATCGTGGCAGCTAGTCAATTGAGGCCTGAACTGCCACGGAGCGGAAGCAGAGGCCCAGGGAAAGGACCAGGTGGAAGGACTGATCGTCGTGGGTCGTCTGGTCGTGGGAGGGACGGGCCGTGTTCCCGCATGATCTCTCATGCCTCTGCATCGAGCCCTGCTAAGGGCTGCGTGCCTCCAAGGGTCCCGATCGGCGAGTGTAGTGTTGATCTGTGCAGTGAGCGGCTGTCGTTGCAAATTTCGTTGGATACTTAATCCCCTCTCAGAGTACAGCGCCATCGTTGTGGTCACACAGTTGTGAATTAGTCAGTGGCATGGTGTCGAGCAGATGTTGCAGAAGCTCCTAGAGCTTGTCGTACTGTGTCCCCTTTATCCCCCCTCCTCCTCCTCCTCCTCCTCCTCTTCCTCCTCCTCATCCTACTCATCCTCCTCCTCCTCATCCTCCTCATCCTCCTCATCCTCCTCCTCCTCCTCCTCCTCCTCCTCCTCATCGTGATACACACATTCTCAACCCGCTGCTGCAGACTGCGCTGGGCACCGAAGTCGCAACGTCGACCATCAGTCCGCTCAGTCCCCACCCTTCTACTCCGTGACCTCCTGCTCCCCCTGCCTCCTCCCCCTCCTCCTCCTTCTCCTCCTACTCCTCCTACTCCACCACCTCGTCCATCGTCGTCGTCATCCTCGTCGGCATCGTCATCGTCATCAGTGCCATATCATCAGCATCATCACCACCAACACCACAACAACCATCATCATTGTTATCATCATCATCATCATCATCATCATCATCATCATCATCATCATCATCATCATCATCATCATCATCATCATCATCATTATCATCATCATCAGCATCATCATCATCATCATCAGCAGCAGCATCATCGGCATCATCAGCATCACCATCATCGTCCTCATCCTCATCCTAATCATCATCCTCATCATCATCATCCTCTACATCCTCCTCCACATCAGCATCATCATCATCAGCATCAGCAGCAGCATCATCAACATCATCCGCATCATTATCATCATCATCATACCCATCCTCATCCACTTCCACATCCTCCTCCTCCACATCATCATCATCATCATCATCATCATCATCCTCCTCTTCCTCCTCATCATCATCATAATCATCATCAGCATCAGCATCATCATCATCGTCATCATCAGCATCATCGTCGGCGTCGTCGTCATCTGTGTCATCATCATCGTCATCATCATCGTCGTCAGTATCGTCACCGTCGTCATCACAATCATCATCACCACCATCATCGCAGCATCGCCATTACCATCATTATCATCATCATCCTCATCATCAGTATCACCATATTTAGCATCAGCATCACCAAAATCATTAATTCGGTTATCAGCATCATGCTCATCATCATCAGCATCATCAGCAGCAGCATGTTCGTAATCATTATCATCACCATCATCAGCATCAGCATCATCACAATCATCATCATCAGCAGCAGCATCCGCATCATCATCATCAGCGGCATCGTCATCACCCTCACCATCATCGTCATCATCGGCATCGTCATCATCGGTATCACCATCATCATCATCACCACCATCATCATCAGCATCACCGTCATCATCATCATGATCAGCATCATCATCATCATCATCATCATCATCATCATTATCATCATCATCATCATCCACCACCTCATCATCATCACCATCATCATCGTCATCATCGTTGCCATCATCATCATCATCAGCATCATCATTGCAATAATCATCATTGTCATCAGCAGTGTCACCATCATTGTCATCATCATCGCCGTCGACATCATCATCATCAGCAGAATCGTCATGAGGGGCATCAGCAGCAGCAGCCGCAGCAACAGCAGCAGCAGCATCAGGGTCATCATTAACACGTCAGCCTCACCATAATCATCATCATCAGCATCATCATCATCATCAGCAGCATCATGATCATCATCGTCATCGTCATCGTCATCATCATCATCTTCATCACCATCATCGGCATCCTCATCATCACCATCATCGGCATCATCAGCATCATCAGCATCCTCATCATCGTCCTCCTCATCAGGATTGTCGTTGGCATCATTACCAGCATCATCATCATCATCACCGACATCATCAGCACTCTCCGCATCCTCATCGTCATCGACATCGCCATCGTCATCTTCTGTGTCGTCCTGATCATCACCATCATCATCACCATCATCAGCATCTTCAACGTCATCACCATCGCCATCGGCAGCATCATCATCATCAGCATCATCAGCATTATCATCATCATCAGCATCATCATCAACAGCATCGTCATCATCAACAGCGTCATCATCATCAGCATCGGTATCGTCATCGTCCTGAGCACCATCCACATCATCCTCATCAACCTCCTCATCACCATCAACACCAACGTCAGCATCATCATCATTAGCAGCATCACCCTCATCATCGCCACCACCACCATAATAATAATCGTAATAAGATTAATCATCGTCATCAGCATCATCATCATCATGGTCGTCAGCATCGTCAGCATCAGCCTCAGCATCATCATCACCGTAGTCGTCGTCATTATCATCAGCTTAATCATCATCATCATCATCATCATCATCATCACCAGCAGCATCAACATCACAATCCCCACCATCATCATCACAATCCCCACTATCATCAGCATCATCCCCATCATCATCAGCGTCATCATCACCGTCATCGCAGTCGTAATCAGCATCAGCATTTTCATCATCATCAGCATCGGCGTCCTCATCATCATCATCATCATCATCATCATCATCATCAGCCTCATCACCATCATCATCATCATCATCATCATCATCATCATCATCATTATCATCATCATCAGCATCATCATCACCATTATCATCGTCATCATCATCATCGTCGTCGTCGTCAGCATCATCATCATCGTCATCAGCATCGTCATCATCGTCAACATTATCGTGATCTTCGTCAGCATCGTCATCAGCATCATCATCAGAAGCAGAATCGTCATCATTAACGACGTCATCATAACCATTAGCAGCATACTTCTGATCAGGAGCAGCATCATCACCTTCATATTCATCATCATCATCATAATCATCATCAGCATCAGCAGCATCATCATCATCGTCAGCATCACCACCATCATTATCCTCATCATCGTCATCATCATCATCTGCATCATCATCATCATCATCATCATCATCAGGATCATCAGCATCATTGGCATCATCATCACCAGCAGCATCGTCATCAGCATCAGCACCATCATCACCATCAGCATCAATATCAGCATAATCATCATCATATTCATCATCATCAGCATCATCATCAGCATCGTCATCATCATCGCCATCGCCGTCGTATCTGCAGCAGCAGCATCATCATCAGCATCAGCATCAGCAACATCGTCACCATCGTCATCATCCTCATGCTTCTCCTCCTCCACCTCCTCCTCCTCCTCACTATCATCATCATAATCATCGTCGTTGTCGTCGTCATCGTCATCGTCATCGTCATTAGCATTGTCATCGTCATCATCCTCATCAGCGTCATCATCGTCATCATCGTCACCAAAATCGTCTTCCCGATCATCACAATCATCATCATCACCATCATCACCACCATCATCATCATCATCATCATCATCAGCGTCATCATCATCATCATCGTAATCATCATCAGCAGCATCATCATCATCATTAGTACGTCGTCCTCATCACCATCATCCTCATCATCATCACCATCGTCATCGTCATCGTCATCGTCATCAGCAGCAGCAGCAACATCGTCATCGTCAGCAGAAAAACCCAGCCACTCCTCATCCTCCTCCCAGTCGCCTCCTCCGAATCCCCCTACCCCCCTCCTCTAGCTCCCCCTCCTCCTCCTTCACCACCCCAATTTTTTCCTGGTCCACTCCTCCACCTGCACTTGTGAGGGGAGAGTGGACTTCAAAGTGTTTGATGCATCCTGAATGTACTCAGGTCCTCGTCCTCCTCCTCATCCTCCTCCGCCTTCTCCATTTCATTCCCTTCCTCATCCTCATCCTTCCTCCTCCTTCTCCGTCTCCTCATCCTTGTCCCCTTCATCACCTTCCTCATACTCCTAATCCCTGCGCGTGTGGGAGAAGGGGGACGGAGGAGGAGAAGAGGATGAGGAGGAACAGAAGGAAGATGAAGAAAAAGACGAAGAACAGGCGGAGGAGGTGGACGAGGCGGGGAAGGAGGGGGAAGGAGGGAGTGGGAGGAGGGGAAGAGGAAGGAAGAGAAGAAGGAGGAAGAGGCGAAAAGTGGAGGGGAAGGAGGAGGCTCGCACCTCCTCCTCTCACCTCCCCTTCATCGTCCTCCATCTTCTCCTCCTCCTCCGCCTCCACCTCCTCCTCCTCCTCCTCCTCCTCCTCCCTCCCTTCCTCCTCCTCCTCCTACTCCTCCTCCTCCTCATCCTCCTTCTCCTCCTCATCCTCCATCCTCCATCCTTCCCCTCGAAATAACTCCACCATGTCGCAGCCCCAGGCGTGTTGGTAGGGCGGGCCGGAGTTTCGCCTGAGACTTCCTGACCACATATGAGCTCCAAGCTTGAAAACTGGCAACAGTTTCACTGATGGAGGGCGGGTGGTTTTCAAAATATGGCTCTGGCCTCAGCGTCACGCTCGTGTGCTTAACAGGTTTCAACAGTTTCACGGATGGAGGGCGGGTCGCTTTCAAAATGTGGGTCTCGCCTCAGCGCCGCCCACAATCGTCGTAAAAATTTGCAACTGTTTCACGGATGGAGGGCGCTTCCTTTTTCAAAATGTGGATGTCGCCCTAGCGCCGAGCACAATCGTCATCAAAGTTTGCAACCGCTTCAAGGGTGGGGGGCGGCTCCTTTTCCAAAACTTGGCTCTCGCCTTAGCGCCGCGCACGTTAGCCTAAAAAGCGTGCCAGGGTTCCAAAGATTCGTATGGAGGTCCCGGGAGCGGTGTTTTTGCACGAGAACGGATTGCCAGGACGCAACAGTCACGTTTATTCGCGGTGTTGGAGGCCCAAGAATGGTCTGGCACGATTGTATATTGTCCAGCCGCAGCATTCACGCTGATTCGCGGCGTTGAAATCCCAAGAACCGTGTGCTGGCACAATTGGGAGTTATCCGACGGTTGTCTTCCAACGGGGCACTTAACGAAAAAAATATTGCGAGGACCTATGAGGAAGGAACTGGGAGAGTTTGTTGCAACATCATTGATGCGTCTTGGGTTCACACATGTCCTTCTTCTTCTCCTCCTCCTCCTCCTCCTCCTCCTCCTCCTCCTCCTCCTCTTCCTCGTGGCGTCATCCTCCTCCGCTTGCCCCTCCGGGACGCTTCCCCCCCCGCCGCGCCAGGTCGACCGCACTCATCGAGAAGCGCACCTCGCGCCGGCCGCCCTCCTTGGCCTCGCGCGGCGCGGCCAAGCCGCGAGGGGGCGCAGGGGCGGGAGCAGAGGGCGCCGAGTGCGGCCCGGGGCGCCTCCTCATCATCATCCTCGTCCTCTTACATCTGCCCCGCCCCCGTCCTGCCCAACCCCCGTCCTGCCCCACCCCTCTCCTGCCCTCCTGCCCCGTCCTGCCCAACCCTCCTCCTTGTGAACAACTCCTCCCTGTCGCACCCCGAGACCAGTCGGAAGGGCGGGCCGGGCATTTCGCCCGAGAGGTCCTTACCATTTGTGAGCTCCAAGCTAAAAAAAACTGGCAACAGTTTCACTCATGGAGGGCGGGTGGTTTTCAAAATATGGCTCTCGCAGCGCCGCGCACGCTCGTTCAAAAAATGTGCGAGAGGTCCACGTTCTGTGGACAGGTGGTTTTTCCAAAGTGTGGCTCTCGCCTTAGCGCCGCGCATATTCGTTTTGAATTTCACGGATGGAAGGCGGTTCAATTTCAATAGTTGCGCCTTAGCACCGCGCAAATTCGACTTGAACTTTTGCACGAGCTTCACAGATTGAGGGCGGTTCCTTTCCAATTTCAATTCGTTTTCAATATGTTCAAGAGTTTCACTGATTCTCATGGTTCACATACCAGAAACGGCGCTCTGGAACGATTCAGGACCGTCGGGGCGCAACAGTTACGTGGATTTGCGGAGTTGAATTCCCAAGAATGGTGTTCTGGTACGGCTCTGAATCGCCAAGACGCAACAGTCAGGTTGACTCGTGGCGTTGAAGTCCTGAGAATGGTGCTTCCGTACGCTTCAGGATGTTCGCACGGTTGTGCCCCAACGGTGCACGTCCCTAAGTGGAAATGAACCCTTGTAGTGGCCTATGAGGAGGAAACTTGGAGGGAGGGTGTATTCCAACTTCGTTGATGAATGATGGGTTTACACTGGTCCTCCTCCTCTTTCTTCTCCTCCTCCTCTTCCTCCTCATCATCATCACCATCAGCAGCACCATCATCATCACCATCATAATTACGTTCATCATCATCAGCCTCATGATCCTAAACAGCCTCGTCATAACCATAGCCATGGATGGACCTAACCATCACAATATTTCCCATCACCATCAACGTCACCATCGTCAGCATCGTCGTCATCATCATCAACATCATCATCATTGTCAACAGCATCAGCATCACCATCGTCATCACCATCGTCATCACCATCAGCATCAGCATCATCATCGTCTTCATCGTCATCGCCATCGCCATCATCGCCATCATCAACATCATCATCATCATCAGCAGCAGCATCATCAACAACAACGACAACGATGGCAACCACAACAACGAGGTCAGCATTCACACTGCGGGTCCGGCCCACGGTACGGCTGCTCACGCCAGACGAACCCCTGCACTGCCGATCAATGGACCCGCGACCCCCCCCCCGACACCGACACCGACAGTGCCTTGGAATCCATATGGGAATCCCTTTGATGAGAGAACTCTGAAGAATGAAGCCTGGGGAGTATCCTTCGGAATTTGCCGACGTTGACGCGTGTCCGCGCGGGGGAAGCGAGGCTCCGCTGAGCAATCTGTCGCACAATGGATACTGACGATTCCTGCCGGACTCCTGACTCAGGCTCCCTTACTCAGAAGTCCTTAGTGAGGATTCCCAATTCTGGATCCCTCATCTAAATATCCTTACAAAGGACTCCCTGGTAAGAAATCATTCCTAAGGATTCCTTACTGAGGATCCTTACTGAGAAATCCCGACTGAACATCTCTCAATCAGAATTCCCGTGTTAAGTATCACCATGAGAAGACTTCCTTGCTAAGGACTTCTTATTAAAGATTCCCGAATAAGGTTCCCTTACTGAAAACAAGGTACGAAGTCTTCCGTATTAAGGAGTCCTTACTTGGAATTCCCGACTAAGAACTCCTCAGTAAGAATCCCACCAGCCCTCTGGGCGTAGGTGGTTAAACGCGTGTCCTCTTCCACCCCTCCCTCTTCCCCTTCGGGGAGGGGTGTACCCCTCCCCCTTGCCCCCTCCCCTGGACCTGGACGGGGCCTTTCGCGGGCCATTGGAGCGTCCAAAACGGCCTCGGCGAGGAAGCCAAAAATCATTGCTTGTACTCGGGTTGTGGCCCCATGTTGGCCTTTTATTGGGGGGGAGCTGATAGAAGCTCCCCCCCTTCTTTGATCGATCTCCTCCAAGATGGCCCCAAGAGGCGCCCAGGAGGCCCCAAGAGGCCCCAAGATGGCCCCAAGATGGCTCCAAGATGGCCCCTAGAGGCCCCCAGGAGACCCCCAAGAGGACCCCAAGCAGCCCCAAGAGGCCCCCCGAGGCACCCAAGACGCCCAAGAGCGCCCCAGGACCGCCGAGAGACCCCCAAGACGTCCCAACAGGCCTCCAAGAAGCGCCCACGAGATATCCGAAGAGGCTCCGAGAGGCATCCGAGAGACCTCTGGCCATGTTGCTTGCCCTCCTCCTCCTGATCCTCCTTCCTCCTCCTCCTCCTCCTCCTCCTCCTCCTCCTCCGTCTCTTCCTCCTCCTCCTCCTCCTCTTCCTCCTTCTCCTCCTCCTCCTCCTCCTCCTCCTCCTCCTCCTGATCATCAGCATCATCATCATCATCATCATCATCATCATCATCATCATCATCATCAGCAGCAGCAGCAGCATCATCATCATCAACAGCATCATCAGGATCAGTATCATCATCAGCATCATCAGCATAGTAATCCTCATCGTCAACAGCAACGACATCATCAGCATCATCAGCATCGTCATCATCAACATCGTCATCAGCAGCATCATCATCAGCATCGTCATCAGCATCGGCACCAGCATCGGCACCATCCTCATCAGCATCAGCATCATCAGCATCATCCTCAGCATCATCATCATCATCATCATCATCATCATCATCATCATCATCATCATCATCATCATCATCAGCATCGCCATCACCATCACCACCACCACCACCACCACCATCATCAGCAGCAGCATCACCATCATCACCATCACAATTATCATCATCACCATCAACACCATCATCATCAGCAGCAGCATCATCATCACCACCAACAGCATCAGCATCATCACTATCAACAGCAGCATCATCATCATCATCAGCAGCAGCATCATATTAATTTTCCTTCTCCCCACTCTCTCATCCATCCATCCAGCCTCCTCCTTCTCCTCATCCCTCCTTCGCATGGTTCGGCCGTCCACCTCGTTGCTCCCGCACTTCCCTGACCACCTCAACTCGCCTGGACGTAATTTCTGGATTGGCTGTTGGGGATACTTTTTGGTCGCGGGCGGACGCGGAAATGCTGTCGCCGAAGGAGAGGTCCGGGCCACGCTGTTGGGGATATTTTTTTCGGTCGCGGCCGCGAGCGAAGAGCGCAGGCGGCAACAGAAGCTGTCCGGGACACGGAAACAGATCTAATTAGCTGCAGGGCGCGCAGCGGGCCGGCTGTTGGGGATACTTTTTTCTTCGGTCGCGTCCGCGAGCGAAGGCGCAGGCGGAGTCAGAAGCTGTCCGGGGCGCGGAAACAGGCCTAATTAGCTACAGGGCGCGCAGCAGGCCGGCCGGGCCAGCTCACAAAGCCGCTGCTGTGCCGCATGGTGAGGCTGGCAGGCTGAGGGCCCCCAGGGAAGCTCGGGCAACGTGCAGTCTGACAAAATGCAAGAAAATTCCATTTACGCCCTGCGGCGTGAACCACTCAGAGAGCGCGTGAACGTACGCGTAATGCCTACACGCTTCACACGCCTGGAGGTCGCACAGGCGAGGTGAACGATGAACGAGTCGCCAGCGGGGCGCCAAGTCCAGGCCCGTACCAACGGTGTAAGCAAGCTAGGTGGGCTATGCTGCCGAGGTGACGTCGAAGACCTTCCTGAATGGCTGGGACGGGTCCAGGGGAAGCGCAGCGTCTGACGGAAGGCTGAACCACTCCGAAGCGACCACGGGGCTCCCAAGGCCCACCATCCCGGACACGTGGGGCGCCGGCCCTGTGGCGAACCCTGAGGGCCTGACCCCAGTCACCAGCTGTCAAAGCGTGGTGAGCGTCGCACTGAGTGTGACAGGCCAGGCTGGCGGGGATGAACATCGCCAGCGTGGCAGAAGAATCCAGGGAGGAGCTGCACAGAGAACGATCACCCCCGAGATCCAGGGGCACGTGAACCCGGCAGCCCGCCCTGCCCGGGAGGGATCCGAGGGGAGGGGCGGTGGGGACAGACATCACCGGCCCTCCACGCGGAGGGGCTCACCAGGGACACCTGGCGAAGGAGGGGGACATAGGGAGGGCCGAAACCCGGCCCGAACTCCAGGGATGCAGCTAATGGCTGCTCAGGATTGGGAAGAAGAGACAAAGGGAGGGCCGAAGCCCGGGCCCGAACTCCAGGGGTGCAGCTAACCGCTGCTCAAGGTTGGGTAGAAGACGGAGCGCCCACGGGGGGGCGATTGGAGGGCGGAGCGGAGGGGCACACCAGGGGCACCTGGCGAAGGAGGGGGACAGAGGGAGGGCCAAAGCCCGGGCCCGAACTCCAGGGATGCAGCTAACGGCTGCTCAGGGTTTGGTAGGAGACGGAGCGTCTAGAATTCCCGACTAAGGATGTCGTATTCGGCATTTCGACAACAGGAATCCCTACGAAGGATTCCGTAAGAATGATCCCCTACTGAGGGATCCTTACTAAGGATTCCCTGCTACGGATCTCTCAAGAATTAATGATCCCCTACTAAGGCATCCATACTAACGCCTCCTTACTAAGGGTTCCCTACTAAGGATTCCTCACGAAAAAGAGTTGCGAAGGCTTCCTTGCTAAGGATTCCGTACTGATAACTCCCTAATGAGGAACCCTCACTAAGGAACCCCTATTCAGCGTCCTTTACAGAGCATTCCGTATTCATCAGGAATCCCGACTAAGAAATCCTTCACTAAGAATTTCCGACCAAGGGATTCCTACTAAGAATTCCCGGCTAAAGATGTCGCAATACTCAAGGATCCATTAGTAAGACAGCCCTACTCAGGACTCCCGACTAAGGATCGTTGAATAATCACACCATACGAAGGCGTCCCTACGACGGGTTCATTACTAAGCACATTCCAGAACGAGGATTCTGTTATAAGAGGTCCCGACTACGGATCGCTTACTGAGAATTACGGGATCCTTACCAAGGACTTCCTCTGGACTTCTCAATGTTGAAGGATCCCGGTTTTACGAAGGCCTTCTTAGCGAGGAATAATTACCACGAAATCCCTACCAAATGTCCCTAACTAAAAAAACCCTCCACGAAAGATTCCGACAAAGGAGTCGATACTAGGAATTCCATGCGACGGATTCCGTATTGAGGAGCCCCTGACAAAGACCACTTACTGAGCATTCCTTATTCTGGATTCCCGATCAAGCAGTCCTTAGAGAGGATCCCCATAATAAGGAATCATTGTTAGGGACTCCCTCATTGGGGCTTCTCAAGATTTTAAGAACCCCATAACACGTCATTGCTAAGGATGTCTTGCCGAAAAGTGTCGCCTACGGAACCTTCACTGAAAGCTGCTTCACGAAGACTTCTCCACAAAGGACCTCTTACTAAGAATTCCGCACTAAAGATTCGCTACAAAAACCTCACTACTACGGACCACTTACTGACCATTCCTTATTCAGGAACCCCGGCTAAGAATTCCTTACTCGGGGTTCCCGACTAAGGGATCCGCACGCAGGATTCCCGAACAGGGATGTCTCACGATGTAGAGACCCCCTATTAAGACTTCAATAATAAGGACTCCTTCCTAAAAATGTCCGACCATGGATCCGTTGCAAAAACAATAAAATGACGCCGCGCGAAGGATTCCCCACGAAGAAACCCTTACGTACTTAGAACTCCCTGCGACGGGTTCCGTGATGAACAAGAGGCTCCCAGAGGGACCCAAGACGACCCCCAAGCGCTCCAAGAGGGCACCAGGACGGCCCAGAGAGGCCCCCAAGACGGCCTACGAAGGCGTCAGACGGGCCAATCGCCTCCCTAAGACGGCCCAAGAGACCCCAAGAGACCCCCAAGAGGCCCCAGGAGGCCCCCAAGACGCCCCCCAGGAGGCTCCCAGGAGGCTCCCAGGAGGCCCCAAGAGGGCCCCGAGAAGCGTTCTCCTCCTCGTCATCAGTTTCTCCTTCTGCTCCTCCTCCTCCCCCTCCCCCTCCCCCTCCCTCCTCCTCCTCCTCCTCCTCCCCCTCCCCCTCCCCCTCCTCCTCCTCCTCCTCTTCCTCCTCCTCCTCCTCCTCCGCCTCCTCCTCCCCCTCCTCCTCCTCCTCCTCCTTCTCCTCCTCCTGCTCCTCCTCCTCCTCCTCATCCTCCGCCTCCTCCTCCTCCTCCACCTCCGCCTCCGCCTCCTCCTCCTCCTCCTCCTCCTCCGCTTCCGCCTCCGCCTCCGCCTCCGCCTCCGCCTCCGCTCCTCCCCTCCTCCTCCTCCTCCTCCTCCTCCTCCTCCTCCTCCTCCTCCTCATCCTCCGCCTCCTCCTCCTCCTCCTCCACCTCCGCCTCCTCCTCCTCCTCCCCTCCTCCTCCTCCTCCTTCTCTCTTCCTTCTCTCCTCCTCCTCCTCCTCCTCCTCCTCCTCCTCCTCCTCCTCCTCCTCCCCCCCTACCGCGCGGACGAAGACGACGTCGGGATCACGACCCTCCCAAGTTCTGACCGCTCGCTGACTGAACTCGACCTCCTTCCTACCACGCGGACGAAGACGAGGTCGAGTTCACGACGCGTCCTTCATACCACTTGTCGGAACTGCGTTGTTCTTGCACTCAGCATCCTTCCTGCAGCGCTGTTCCACAGGCACGGTGGCGGGGTTTGCCGCAGGCAGCTGGATGTAATCGTACCATGATCAGTATTACCAACATAATCTGGATGATCCTGCGCCTCCCCCTCCTATCAATGTCCCCCATCCTCCTCGTTCGCCTTATCAGTATCAGTATGTTCCTCCTCATCCTTCTCCGCCTCCTCTTCCTCCTCCTCCTCCTCCTCCTCCGCCTCCTCCTCCTCCTCCTCCTCCTCCTCCTCCTCCTCCTCCTCCTCCTCCCCTCTCGTCCCCATCCGCATCTCACTCCTCCCCATGTTCCTTCTTAGTCTGCACCCTCTTCCTCATCATCCTCCAGGGGGGCGGATGGGGAGAAGGACGACGACGACGAGGGGGGATGAAGCTCTGCAAAACGCCCCAGTGGTGGAGCGACGCGAAGGATCGACATGAAACAGATAGCCTGGCGAAGAGCCTAACCCACTCAACACGCGGGGCGACGCTGAAAGGGAGGAGCGGGTCGGAGGCGCGCACGTATAGATCACCGTGTGTCCCAGGGTCCGATGGACCACTGTACACTGGACAAGATCTGATCCCCGGCCTCAGGGAGAGTCGACTGCAAATGTATGATGCGTTCTCATGGAGGGCATCCACATCCAACCCCGGGGCCATGACAGATGGGCGCGGGGACGCCGTGGGGAACCCACATCTGAGGCCATCATGGGGCATCATGGGCGCGGGGGCATCATGGGCGCGGGGGCCGCCGTTTGGACACCCCCACTGGGGCCATAGGTGGAACTCCCTATGTGGGCACGAAACGCGTGAGAGGCGTCCCGACAGTGGCGCGGGGACACCGTGGACACCCCAAGTGGGGCAATAGGCGGAACTCCCCACTGGGCACGAAACGCGTGAGGCGTGTGCCGAGTTGGGCGAGGGGACGCCGTGTGGACACCCCCGACTGGAGCCGTAGATGGAGCTCCCCATGTGGGCCCGAAGCGCGTGAGCGGTGTGCCGAAGTGGGCGCGGGGCGCCATGTGGACACCCCACTGGGGCCACAGGCAGAGGCTCCCATATGGGCACGACACGCGTGAGTTGTGCGCCGAACTCACGCGGGATCGCCATGTGGACACCTCCGGTGGGGCCATCGGTGGAGCTCCCCATGGGGGCACGAGACGTGCGAGCGGTGTGCCGAAATGCGCGCGAGGCCGCCATGTGAACACCTCCGCTGGAGCCATAGGTGGAGCTCCCTGCGGGAGCATGAAACGCATGAGGGGTGCGCCAAAGTGGGCGCGGGGGCGCCATGTGGATATCCCAACTTGGGCCAACGGTCGAGCTCCAGGATGGAGCACAAAACGCGTGAGGGACAAGCCGAAATGGGCGCCAGGACGTCATGTGAACGCCCCCACTGGGGCCGGCCATAGATGGAGATCTCCATGTGGGCGCGAAACGAGTGAGGGGTGCGCCGAACTGGGCGCGGGGACGCCATGTGGACACCCCCAGTGGGGTCATCGGAGGAGCTCCGATGGGGGTGCGAAACGTGTGAGGGGCGTGCCGACATGCGCGCGAGGCCGCCATGTGGACACCTCCGCTGGGCCGCTGGGGCCATAGGTGGAGCCTTCTGGGGGGCACGAAACGCGTGAGTTGTGTGCCAAATCGGTCGCGGGGACGCCATGGGGACACTCCCGACTAGAGCCATAGGTGGAGCTCCCGGAGTGGGCACGAAACGCGTGAGGGGTGTACCAAAACGAGTGTAACAAAAGCAACTGGAGCGGCAGCGAGAGGATGGGGAAAGAGGGGAATGAGAAAGAGGAGGGAGAAGGAAGAGAAGGAGGAGGAGGGCGAGGAGGAGGAAGGAAAAGAGGGGGAAGGGAAGGGGAGGTGGGAAGGAGGCGGGACGCGGCGCTGGGGATGCAAAACGAGGACCCAACACACAGGAGGGCTGGAAACAAAGGGCGCAGGCAGAGACAACCAAACCATAGCAGGGTGCTAAGGCCCACCGCAGTTCATACTCTAAGCTGGTACCATACCATTGCGACGGTTGCTTCACGGGATGGAGAGGAGCACGATGGAGAGCAAGTGGAAGAGCTGGAGGAATGCGCAATGGGGGGGATGAGGACGAGGTGCGCCGGACGAGGAGGGAGAACAGGAGAAATGGAGAGGGATGAAGACAACGACGAGCAAGAAAACGAGGGAGAAGGAGGAGGAGCAGCAGCAGCAGCAGGAAGTGGAGGAGCCAGCGTGCTGGAGGGGAGAAGTGAAGAGGGAGGAGGGACAAGGATGAACCAGCTGGCCGAAGAGAAGGGAGGAAGTGGAGGAGGATGAGGAGGAGGAGGACAAGGAGGAGAAGAAGGAGAAGGAGACGGAGAAGGAGAAGGAGAAGGAGGAGGAGAAGGCGAAGGAGGAGGAGGAGGAGAAGGAGGAGCAGGAGGAGGAGCAGGAGGAGGAGAAGGAGAAGGAGAAGGAGAAGCAGAAGGAGAAGGAGAAGGAGGAGAAGGCAGAGGAGGAGGAGGAGGAGGAGAAGGAGAAGGAGAAGGAGAAGGAGAAGGAGAAGGAGAAGGAGAAGGAGAAGGAGAAGGAGAAGGAGAAGGAGAAGGAGAAGGAGAAGGAGAAGGAGAAGGAGAAGGTCAAGGAGGAGGAGGAGGAGCAGGAGGAGGAGAAGGAGAAGGAGAAGGAGAAGCAGAAGGAGAAGGAGAAGGAGGAGGAGGAAGAGGAGGAGGAGGAGGAGGAGAGGAGCATGAATCAGCGGGCCGAAGAGGGAGGCAGGGAGGAGCCGGCGCGCTGAAGGGGGAGGGGAGCGAGGGAGAGCAGCCGAGGGGAGGCTGCCGAGAGAGGGTGGCCCCCCAGGGACCTCGTGGCGCAGGCCGCCCTTGAGGGAGCCCCGCGACTGGACCTGCGGGCCCCAAGAACATACACCACCACCACCTGCATTCCTCCTCCCTCCTCTTCCCCTCCTCTTCCTCTCCTCTTCCTCTCCTCCCTCCTCCTCCCTCCTCCCTCCTCCCTTCTCCTCCCTCCTCCTCCCTCTTCCTCTCCTCTTCCTCTCCTCTTCCTCTCCTCCCTTCCCTCCTCCCTTCTCCCTCTTCCCTCCTCCTCTCTCCTCCTCCCTCCTCCCTCCCCTTCCCTCCTCTTCCTCTCCTCTCTCGTGGGAGAGGGAGGGGGCGAGCGAGGTGGTGGTGTATATATTTTCTAGCCCCGTAGAACCTGGCTGGCCGCGTGGCTGGACTCGGAGCTGGGCTCGGAGCCCCCAGGCACGCGGGCGTCGCCGGACGCCTCTCGAGGAGGCCAGGGGTAGAGCCCAGGGGCAGCCAGGCGACGGCGACGGCGACGGCGGCGGCGACGGCAACGGCGACGACGACGACGACGACGACGACGACGACGACGACGACGACGACGACGACGACCGGACGATGACGACGACGACGACGACGACGACGACGACGACGACGACGACCAGACGATGACGACGACGACGACGACGACGACGACGACGCCGACGACGACGACGACGACGACGACGACGACGACGACGACGACGACGGCGACGACACCGACGACGACGACGACGACGACAACGACGACGACGACGATGACGACGACGACGACGACGGCGACGACGACAACGACGATGACGACGACGACGACGACGAGGGCGCCGACGACGACGACGACGACGACGACGACGACGACGACGACGACGGCGACGGCGACGGCGACGGCGACGGCGACGACAACGGCGACGTCGACGACGAGGGCGCCGACGACAACGACGACGACGATGACCACCACCACCACCAGACAAAGACGACGACGGCGACCACCAGACGAAGACGACGAGGACGACGACGACGACGACCAGACGATGACGACAACGACGAGGACGACGACGACGAGGAAGACTACGACGACAACCGCGAGGAAGACTACGAGGACGACCACGAGTGTGAGAACGGTCCAGATGACGACGACGACGACGAGGAACGAGGACGAGGAGGGGGAAGAAGAAGCGATGGGAAGATGGAAAAGAGGAGGGGGAGGCGGAGAGGGGAGGAAGAAGGAAGAGGCATGGGGAGATGGGAGGGAAGGAAGAGTCTTGAAATGACGGTTAAGGGGCGCCTGAACTGGGGATCTTCTGACCCGGGTCAGTCCAGACCTGGGTCAGTCAGACCCTGCAAGATCCTGCAAGATCCTTTACCCAAACCTGGATCAATGCGAAGGATCTTGCAGGATCCTGCACCCAAACCCGCGTCAGGCGACCCTGGCCCTGCAGGATCCTGCAAGATCGGGCGCTCTCGCTGACCTCTTATTGCATTGACCCCGTCTCTCAGGCCCCGACTGAACACCTGTGGGCCCGAGTTCCTAAAGTCACACACCTGGATCGGTGGTCGGAAGCGTCCATCTTGGTTGCCACTTATAAACATCGGGGTCGGCCAAGAGGGGGGCGTCCCAGAGGGGGCGCAAATCATGGCCAGCGGCACGTGCGCGGCCCAGGGGGGAGCCAGGGACGCAATGGGATAAGAAGAGGCGCCATGAAATCTGAAGAAATAGTATTGCCCACGCCATGATCTCCAGCCCCCCCTAATCATCACCCCCTTCTTTGCCGCGCCCGAAGTCAGAGCAACCGTTCCAGCAAACCGAGGCCGAACGCTGGGTGCCTCCCGCAAGGGGGCCGCTGGCTTGGTCCACTCGGCACGTCCTGCCGACGGTGGCATCGGCCAGAACGGTAACCATATTCATGATTTACCGTTGTGGCCTGCCCTCTTGGGGTCCAGAGGCCCTCTGAGGCCGTCGCGGAAGGCCCGAAAAAACGACGGGGAACACAGGAAGGACCCCGAAACGGCCCCAAGATGGATCCCGCACCCGCCGAAGCTGTAAGCAGATTTCACTTACTATTTGGGTCTTCTTGGGGCTCTTCTGGGTCACACACTCTGCAGGCTCGTTCATACAAGAATGCACTGAACCCTCTGGGTGTAGTTAGATTATGGAGTTAGTTTTTCGAGCATCGTCCTGCTTCTCCTGTGAGGAAAAGTTTACCTCTCCCACTACATCCTGCTCCTGGTATAGAATCCTCTCCCCGCGACGCATTGGAGCGTCCAGGATGGCCCAAAATCACTCTGAAATGGCAGCAGTTTGCGCAAGATGGTCTAGAAGATCGAACGAGACAGCCCGAGATGTCTCAAGATAGCGTCAAACATCCCTCCAAGAGGCTTCAAAACCGCCCCGGGACGGTTTCAAGTGGCAACGGAGCCCTCCCAGGGACGCCCCCGAACGGTCAAAATTTGTCCAAAACCTTGAACTACGTATTGGTTTATCATATCGTTTCTACACTTCCGATGGGCCTCTGAGGCCTCCAGATGGCTCCAAGACGGCCAAAGACAGCCCCAAGCAGGGTCCCAGAGGGGCCCTGGACGACCCCACGGGCGCACCAGAACTCCTCAAGAACACCACTAGATGCTGCCAGATGCGATATTCGGGCTCCGACGGAGGGGTTGGAATATCGACCCTGGTCTGTTGACCGATGGCATCCCAAATGGCCCTCAAAAGGCCCTAAAGTGCCCCCAAGATGGTCCCAAGAAGGCCCCAAGAGTCCCCAGAGAGCCCCAAAAGCCTCCGCGATGGCCACACGAGGGCCCCAAGATGGCCCTACCAAGCTGCCAAGAGGTTCCCATGTCGGAACACCCGATGTATCGTTGACATCCTGGGCCTGCTCAGGCTGATCCCGGTCTTCGGTTTGACGGCTGCCCCCCCACACTTCCCTGATCAATGCAACCCGACGCGGCATCGTTTCTGGGTGGGCTGGTGGGGACACGCGAAACGTCAAGGATTGGACACCCGTTTCGGAGGGGGGAGGACGAGTGGGAGGGAGAGGAGGAGGAGGAGGAGGAGGAGGAGCTCTCACCCATTGAGTTAAATGTCTTATCTAGCCTCATTATCACAGAACCTGGGGGGGATACACCCTATCTGTGTCCCCATTCATGTTGCTAGCTCGTAGAGCCGCGCGCGCTGGCAGATGCAACACGTCGTTGCCTGCGCGGGGGCCTGACCGTTGAACACAACGGGCAGGGCACAAATGCGGGGGAGGGATAAAGCCTGTCGCATATCTCATACCGCACATTCCGACAACTGCCGAAGCTCGGTCGGAAGAGGGGCAGAGTGGCGGGGCCTAGAGGTAGACGTAGGCGAGGGAGATGTCGTAGCATATGCCGCTGTGCTGAGACGAGCCCGATCCCGTAGGGACAAAGCTCCAAAGTACACACGCGGCCGGGGAGGGGGCAACGGGACTCTGGTGCCAGAAAACAAACAAACTGGGACACAAGACATTCTCGAGGGCAGCTCAGTTGTCGCGCCTCAGAGCCCAAGAAACCACCCGCACATCAGAAGTGCCGCGGTGCCCGAGCTAAGAGAGGGCACATTATGGCGAAAGCCTCCTTCAGTACGAGAAATCCACTCCACGGTGCACAATTAACTCCAGCATATGTGGGCGATGTGGTCGGTGTAGGTGGATGCTTCGCACGTGGAGCGCTTGGCTTCAGGCACGACACTCCCGCCGCCTGCACGGACGCCGTAGCATCTGGAGATAGTGGAGGTACAACTCGCATCTAGCATAACAGCATATGCAAAGCCAGAAAAAAAAACGGGGGAACCCAAAAAAACGTCATAAGCTTGCGCGCCATGTTGCCTCGAGGTGTTCTGCTGGCAGTGGCAACGCCACCTGCTGCCCTGATGAGTTCAGCTACGATCGTCTCGACGTCCACGACCTTGCCCTTCCACGCGTAGAAACTTGTCGGCATCTCCAGGGGCGTCTGTTGGTGCAGCTGGCTGTCTGGTTCCACGATGGCTTTGAGCAGTTCGGTGGCCGCCCCTTCCTCTTCTGGCACCAGTGTTGAGCCTCGCAAGCTGAACAAAAGGCGAGACTTCTTGGGCTTGTTGCGCTGGTCGAAGCACGGGAAGACTGCTGTTTGTCGCGCCCACTGGACTGTCAGATCGGGCCCTGCCATTGCCACCATCCGCGCGAGCCGACCGGCCGCGAGCTTGAGTCGCGATATCATCGCCGAACTGCCCCGATACTGCCAATTGCCTAAGACGGTCAGAATTGCGTAGACTGGCTGGCATGCTGGCGATCCAAGATTCGCGTTTGGGTCCTGCTTGCGTTCCTTGGCGTACTCCGCGTAAGCCTTGTTGACGTCCACCACTGCTTGATGCTGCCCGTCCAATATGACTGTCGTCATGGCCTCGTGTTCCAGTAGCCTTACTCTCGCCTCTCACTGAACGATGAGGTTCTTCATCGGCAGTATGACTGTGTCGTCGTCCATGTCCTCACCCTCGTCCTCCTGGCCCTTCGCCTCGTGCTTCTTGCGATCGCTGCCCGCCATTGCGAAGATCTTGCTGCAATCCCAAATCAACCAGGACCTCTGTCCTGACGTCATTACTGCCGTTGCCTCTTCTCCCATGATATCTCGCGCGTAGTGCTGAAACCCAATCTGGATCAAGTACCTTAGCCCACGACGTACGTCCTCGAGGTAAAAGGCGCTGCGATTGAGCTACGCCACCGTGCTTGACTAGCTGACGGACGTGGAAAAAGGGAGATAGACGCGGTTCCAGATGATCTCGACAATGCTTGAACCATAGTTCCATTACACAAAAACTTTCGTCACATCTCGGGCATGCCACGTCTTTTGGGGGAAATACTTCACATGCATACCTACCACGATTACATGGGCAGCACTCTCGTTTAAGGCTGTCTGCTACATGTTTATTCGCAATCTCCGCACTCAAGAATAGGCTGTCGCATAACACGCACATGTTGGTGGTAGTGAGCATACGTCCTACATATAGTTGTCCATGACTGCCTCCCATCGCGCGGACGATGCGCCTGGTAAATATGTGCTGCGATGGCCATGTGGAGTTGCATATGCTACCAGATGCTAAGGTATCATTGCATACGCATTTGCCTTCTTCGCGATCTTGCTCGCGCGCGCACGACGCGCGTGACGTATGAAACTTTGCTCGTAATTCATCGCAATCGATCTTGACGAAATCACCCGGGCCCTCGAACAATATGCGTCGCATATTTCCTCATATTTCCCACGTCGTTTCCACCACCTCCAACTCTTTCAGAGCCCCCGAGTCACTCTGGAACTGAATGGCCCACGGACGCGCACGGGGCCCAACCGACCCTTCCTCCGGAAAAAATGCCTCCATCTAGAGCGGCCTGTCCGAAGCAAAAGGACAATAACTGAACGTGCTGGCCTCGATCCTGCACCACGGTTCGG